TAGGCTATACGTGCACGTGGACAGTATCTCAAAAACAGCTCGGTATTTTTATAAAGCAAAACTGAAAACAAAAAACAGCATTACCTTGTTTACACCGAAACTCAAATCCCCATAGTCTGTCAGCTAATCTTTCACTCTTTTATCGCAGTTAAACCCACCTCTGTCCATATTCCACTGAGAATCTTGTCTCTCCTTTCTAATTGAACACTTCAGGAACCACTCTTTTCCTGTTGGAAAGTGAAACAAGGCCCTGGCCAGCCCTTTGTGATTGATTCGTTTATCTGAAGAGGGATTTTGAAGAAAAAAATGGGGTCACCCTCTTTACTCTTGAGAGAGTCAGATCACTCAGATGGTAGTGTTGTTTTGTAAATCTGACAGAACTCATATGGTGCAAGACCTAGTTTTATCATCTTTTGTTTCTGAGAATGAAAGCAAGGAATCACTGTACATGTACATGTACATGTATGTCGCTCACAAACTACAATGTACAGGAAAAAATCTTAGTTGAAGGCAGAGTAGAGCACACAGTGTTATTTTTTGTTGTTTATTTCTAGCAGGAAGTGTTTTTTAAATGTATTTATTTCTGGACCTGAAACCAAGGAGTTCTCTAAAATACCCATGACTCTTTAGTTCACTTACCTGAAAAAAAACCACTTCGGGTGAGCTACGTGTATGGAGGACAAAAAGTAGTCAACTGCTTTTCTGCTTTTAGTTTTTTAGAACGACAGAAAAGTAGATTGAGGTTTTTGAGTTTTCCTGCCTTTTTTGCATTTGTGCTACACATGTACATGTACGTGGGAAACATAAATTTTACTTTTCCTCCTTTGCCGGCGGACGAAAAATGGACACCTGATTTTTATTTCGCAAGGAGCAGAAAATTAGATTGGCAGTTATTGACGTTTCCATTTACAAAATCTGCTTTACTGCTACCTGAGTGAAGACATGTTGAGATTTAGAGGTGGGAGGAAAACCCCACTTACACTTTCTAGGTGAAAAACTAATACAGTCTTACGATATAGAGTCAAACCTGGATCACAATATACCTGAATCTACATATGTATATGTAGAAGGCAAGGAAAACACATACCGGTATACCGATACATGTACAGGATGTGTATGTACTGCACTACTCGGCCACCCTGGTAATTATTTTGTTTTGGTGATTTACATTATAAAACTGCATCCCTGTATGTTCAGTGGTGAAATACAGTTGGAAAGATCATGCAATTGTGGCTTCCAATCGTGAGTTTTCTCTTAAATTATTGGGAGTTGAAAGGCTTAAGAACTTAATACTACAGAGCGTGTTGCTTCATTGTTTTCTGGTGTATCCAGTACATTGTATACACTAAATGTAAATTGGTGACCTCAATTTGTATTTAATCTTTTACCTGTAACCTTTTTTTCTTATCAAAGTAAGCAGTATTTCCTGTCTCCTGGGCAGCTGATTGACAGACCACAGTGTTTGACCCAGATAACCTGGGGATGACAACAAGTCCCATGCTTTTGTACACTTGCAGTTGCAGTCCTGTAAATTCCCAGCACAGCTCAAAGATTCATAGAATGAAAAAAAAATAAACAGTAAAAAATATACAGGAACAAAGTTGCGTTGTAGCATGGAGCTTTGGTTGTAGTAATGTTTCCGGACTTGCCTGGGCCTTCCAACTTTGGGCTGTGCATCGGAACCGGGTACCCGAGTACCCGACCGCTGATGTCAGGAACTGGTTCCAGATTAAATGTAGAATCGAGAACCCATAATTAACTTTACCAAGTATTACTGAGTTACTTCTGAGACATTGAAAAAAGAAAGGTTTTGAATGTCAGTGATGGGGAATTTGCAATTTGTGACATCACAGCAAGTACAATGCAGCCTACCTGTATGCGTGCTGCGAATTCACAAATTGGAGCTCAATTTTCAACCCCCGGCAAATTTCGCAGCGACTGTTCTGTGACGTCAGATTTGATTGACGTGAAGCATGAACCAGCTTTCAAACTTATGTAATAACAGGCCTGACTTTCCAGAAATAAATGAACTTGAATGAAAGTGACTGACATGTTTAGTCGCACAAGAATTCTCACTTTGGCAATTAATTTTTACTTATTTTTTCAATGTCTCACCCAGTGGCAAATTCTTTGGGCTGTTTGTGGTTTATCATTGGACCGTTTTGTCACCCTCTTGTTGTAGCATGATTGACATGTTGGTCTGCAGTCAGGGATAATGGTTACAGCTATTGCTGCTAATAGGCTATTAGGTTTTCAGCCCATTATGAATGTGTCAGGACATTAGAGGTTGAGTGACAGATTGCAGAGTAATGTCACTTACTGGTATATTCATGGCTACTATGGAATTTTTATGTGCAATGTGCAATGTGAATTGTCTATTACATGTAGGTAGATTCTGGGATGGGGGTGGGGGCAGGGGAAGGGAATATATCCCCAACTTGTACTTGAAGGGAAAGGGGACATTTGGTCACCCTCCCCCCTTTCACCCACCCACCCAAATGTTTGTGGTGAACCAACCCAAAAATTCTTGTAATTGTAGACCAAAATTGTAAAATGAAGACAAGAAAACACCGAGCCACCCAAAAAAAAAAAATATCAAACTTTAAACTGGATTTAACAGTAAAAAATCTGCCAGTAGTGGATTTAAGTGCAGGGGTGAAACTTGTAAGGATTTCCTCCTGTTATCAGGATTTCCTCCTGATTTCAGGATTTTTTTTCTACTTCTAGACTTTTCCTGAATTCAGGATTTTTAAAGAAACCTTTTTAAAATCTGCAACTCCTGAGGTTGTACCGTAAAGGGTTTTTTACCTATATACATGTATAAATCTTACGAGAGCAAAAGCAAATTTATACAAACGTATACCATGGACCCTATACCCCAGGACCCGCAAACTGATAACTGATAGTACATACAGGCATGCAACTTTTCCTCGGATCCGCTGATTTCCTCGTTTTTTACTTCTCATAAATGCCATTACAAACTGAAAAACACTGTACAAAGTCTTGTGTGGTTTGGAGTTTCCTCGTTTTTTCCCCTAAATTCCAGTTGCATGCCTGTACATATCCCCCCCCCCCCCAATCTCACCCCTGGTACATGTACATTGGGTACAAATTTAAGCTTGAAGTAGCTGGAACCCGGTACCAGTACATACACATTAGTTTGTTTCTGTATTCAATAAGGAACATTGAACAATAGAGGACAATAGGGTCCCCACTTCTAGAAGGTCCCCAATTTGGCGATTGTGTACTAAACATATGGGAGGTCTTCCTAAGAGTACTTGTCAAAAGAGGGACAATAGGGGGTCCCTGATTGCAGGCAAATACACACTTGTGTGTACTTATGTACCGTTACATTATGAATACGCATCAAATGAAACCATAAGTTTGCACCTATCCCCTGACCTCCATCCCCCCCCCCCTTCCTGACAAATAAAATCAAGCCGGGTTTCATCATGCAAGCTTGGTACCTGGTACCGGTACATACATGTACTTGTACTTTGTTGGTCATGGTACCGGTGTCACATGAAAATCCGACTCCTATGAAAATCGGACCCCTTTTCCCTATTATTGGTTAATCCCTCTCACGTGACCGGTCACTTTCCTAATTACCATACTTACGCATGCGCGGTATTACCAATGAGTCTGAATTTCATAGAAGGGTCATTCTATAAATTTGGGGTCCACTTTTTTTCCCGTCCCTGTTACATCTGACATCTATGATTTTATAATTCTGATGCACTCCTTAATGCAGTCATCCTCCAAGAGTGATTATGAATAGCAAACTACCTACCCAACAAATAAACAATCATTTGAAGTCACTTTTAATGATGCTTGAATGGCAAATTACAAAGTACCAAGGTAACAGGGACGGGAAAAATGTCACACTTTGGACCCCAAATTTATAGAATGACCCAGAAACGTAAATTCACGCTACACCGGTACATGTATTGGTGTTGACAGTGCAAAAGACCTTATAAATATCATGTCATGAACACTACTTGTGTCCTTGTCTCCTTGTGTGTGTTATGATAGTCACACCTTGTTGCCTTAAGCTGAGGTTTCAGGCAAACAAACACTGGGTGATCCTTTTGTCAATGTTATTGTAATGTGACCCTAAGACATCAAAGGAGGCAAGGCAGAGGATGGGGCCAGTCCCTCAAGTTCAAGAGGCCTGTACATAACGCGCATGGTTCAATTCCCAATTAACTTTATCATAGAATTTAAAACGTTGGAGGGTGCACTGGCAAAACTGTATGCATGCATGCACTTACAGTACAGGTACACATGATCTGATACACCGTGCCCTCTGGAGACATGCACACAATAGGGAACAAAAGATTGTATACACGGTACGTCTCCACAGGACATTTTTCTATAATACCAGTACGTCTCCACAAGGATTTCACGAAATAGTTTAATATGGAGTTTACTCAAAAACTAGGAATTTCCAAGGTATGTTGATCAGTCGCAAATGGTAGAGTTTCAGCCAAGGAAACTAATTCTGGTTAAAATAAGAGGATTTTGAAAGTGTACTTTCAAACCCGAAAACTTAAGTATGTCTCCACAAGGATACAAATTTCAGTATGTGTGAATCCGGAGGTTTGTTCATAAATTTACATGTGCACAGCTTTTGTAAAAGTGTGCATTGGTTTCAGTCAGTTTTGGCCTTGTTACAAACATGTATAGTCAGACCTACGTGAACATGTACATGTACATGTACGGTCAGACCTACACGGGCTAAATACACAACATACACGAAGCAGACTGAACATGAGTAAGAGGATGGCCTGAATTTTGTTCCTTACACCTGAAGAGTTGAATGTTCAAATGCTGCTCAAGTGTTCTTCATTTAAGTCTGGGTCACACTTTCATAACTGTTCTATCTTCATGATCTTTGTCGGTGGTTAATTCAACAGGTTTGCAATGAGTGGTGCACCATATTGGGATTCTCCTAAAGTTGAAACTTGTATTTCTCGTCTTTATTTCAATGCATTACAGAACATGCAGAGTAGTGAGCTGATAGTGACAGACCACGTGCTGACCAGCGAGGAGCTCAACGACCTCAGGATGAACAGCGGCTGGGAGGACAGCATCAAACGCACACAGAGGATCATACAGGTAAACATGGCAACGGATGTGTAACCAATGGCAATGGATGTGTAACCATGACAACCAATGTGTCACCACGCATGTTTGTTTTACGTACATACCTACATGTAGTGTGGACATTCCTTCCTTTTCGTGTAGTTAAGAAAAACCATTGAAAAAAAAATCATTTTTCTCAAACTGCAAAAACTCTTTCAACCCAAATTTTTTTCTGTGATTCCCTTTAGTGTTTCTCTTCATTTTGCCATGGATAAGCCTAACCCCAAAATGCCTCTAAACCTGTTTTCCAGAGAGGGGGAAACCTTGTGTGGACGTGGGCAAGTCCACACAACGTCGCTGCTACCTGGTTTATGTGGACATCTTTTGTTCGGAAGTCCACACAGTGAATGTAATGCTTGTCCATGCCAACCAGTGTTTTACTATGGCAGCCAATAATTAAATTTTCCAATCTGTGTAACCATGGAAACCAGTGTTTTACGATAGTACCTAACTTACCGGTATGTGTAACCATTCACTGGAGACATAAATTCTTTGGAAGTCCATCGTTGGCTTGCCCAAGTTATTGCCTCATTTTTTTAACATGACTACAGAGAGAACTACACTACATGTATTTAAAAACAAGAACATTTCCAGAATCAAACTTCTAGAATCATGTGTCAGTCTGCAAGCGTCTGCCGTGCATTTGTAGTTGTCCATTTTCTAAACATGGCATTTCAAACCTAAAATGGCTGATCGACTTTTGATTGACTTTGATTGATTGTGATTATTACCGACTTTGCAAAGATTTCCTTTCTGGGGATTTCATTTGTGTGGGTTTTCATTTCTGTTTAGGATGGTTCATTGGAGTTGACAGAGACCGGCAAGGCCCTGAAGGTCCAGTCAGAGCGCCCTCACTTGGTCAGTTTGGGCGGGAGTCGGGTCAGCACGGCCATCACATTACTGCCGCTGCCTGAAGGTAATGAAACAAAAAACACATTGCTGGTTCGCTGGGCAACAGCCAGGGAGGCTTTTATCTCGGCTGCACACAGCCCTAGACAAGATGTGTACAGTGTACTAGTACATGCACACTTAGGATTTTTTTCCCCATTTATTAAACCTCAGGGAACCTCAAGCAACATTCCTATCTTTTATTAAACCTCACAGAGATCTGTTAAACCTCACGGAACCTCGAGCAAGATATGAACATGTTATTTCCTGGCTCATCCTCACACAACCTCAGACAAGTTGTGTGTATGCACACATACCGGTACTGGACCGGTACACACTAATTTCTTGTGTTTCAACCTCACAAAACCTCGAGCAAGACATACCCGGTACCTGGTACATGTACAAGTTTATTCCTGATGAGACCTCATCCTCACCCCACTTCAAACAAGATGTGCACATTTTACACATACACACTATTTTATTTGTATTTCGACTTCGCAAAACCTCATTTAAGGCAGGTACATGTGCATCCAAATTATTTCTAGAAAACTCATCCTCGAACAACCTCAGTCAAGACATGTCCATGTACACGCATTACACTGCATGCTCACATGTGTATAATTTGTTTGTAATTCAGCCTCAGAAAACCTCAAGGAAGGTGTGTGCATACACACTTGTACATTAATTTCTTGTATTTCAACCTCGCAAACAAAACCTCATGCGAGGCATCATCACACAACATCAGCACACAACCACAGGTAAACTTCTATATGATGTAGTACATGTACGCATGTAATATTCTTCAAATATCCTCACACAGCCTCAGGCAGACGTGTCCACATACATAACGTTCTAATTATCTCAACCTCACCCAACCTCAGGCAAGACATGCATAGGCACCATCGATTCCAAGAACCCCCAGGACATCGTCATCCAGGGCAAGGACATCCGACCCGAGCAGTGCTGCATCGAAAACAGGAACAATGTGGTTACGCTGATCCCCATCGGGCCGTGCACCGTGGACGGGGAACCGGCTACAGAGCCGACAAAACTCACCCAAGGTAATACAATGGACAGAGGTTAAAGATACAGTCCATCATTTGTAATTTGTGCATTTTGTTCGTTTGAAGCAACAAAAGTGTTCAAAATCTAATGAAGGATACTGAACAACTAACCTGATGAAGTTTCAGCTCAGCTTCAGCTGTATATTCCGAGAAAAACAGCATTCTAGGATCTCAATTTCAAATCAAAAGTTGCTGAATCATGTTTTGAATTGGGCCTGAATTCAGCGTCCAAGACACGTTCTGACTGAGCTGATTGCAGCTACGCGATGTCGCGCACTGATCCGACGAATTATAGCAACTGCGTGTGCGTCGTGCCAATGCTTGCGCGCGCTTCGCCGAATAACGAAATGAACTACTAATTTAAATTTCCTACGTGTGCGTCTTAAGAAGCACCTTTTGAAATGCCTTCTTTCGTTGATTTCTTCAAGCTTGCCAGAAAGAATAATTTCACACGGAGTTTAGTCCCCTTACTATCTTTCAACCAAGAATGTTTTTCAACAATAATGACGCCAGTTACTTTTCGGATAGCTGCAAATGACTCCAGCTTTAAACAAGGTATAGACAACAACGTTGTCCTCAATTCCATCACAAGTCCAGTCACAAGTTTATCACAAGTCCAGTCACAAGTAACAGGGGATGAACATGACAAAGGAATGCTTTTGTCAGTGTTCATTTGAGTAGCTTGTGAGTTGATTGGACTGGATGGCTTGTGATGGACTTGTGAGGTCCTGTGAGGACTTGTTTGGACTTGTGATAAACTTGACTACAGCACTTTAAGGACCTCAAGAGTTGATTCTGAAAAGAAGTTGCATTATTTTCACATTACTCAGAGGAACATGTGAAACTAGATGTGTGTGGACAAACATGTGACCCTTGGTATTATTGGAGTCAGTTATAAAGGGGAAGAGGACTCGGCTTCTCAGTTCTGATGTGGTGATTTATTCTCACACTGAAAGATGAAAATACGGGAAAGGGAAGCTCAGTTTAGGACAAGGTGTTCCCTCGGCTCCGGTTAGCATTGGAATGGCGCTAACGCGGGCCGCGCCCCGTATTCCGAATCTCTATTGTGGTAACGGCGAAAGTGATTGGTCAATGAAAATGAATATTCAAGACGATGCTTTGAATCAGAATAAAGGTTTGCGGGGTGAATCTAAAAAAGAATAAGGAGGGATACTTTTTACGCCTGTGACAAACACATGGCTGTTTCGGCAATTTTTTGCTGTACATGTATTCTTGTATTATCTTATAGACTGATAGGACATAGAAGTGCAGAAGAAAGTTGCATACTGATCAGTGCCAATAGTTCGGAAGCTGTAGGCTTATAAAAATGCGCCTTCAGTGTGACGTTATATTTCGTTTGATGGCGTCATCTTGACGTCACTTAAAAGTTCATCAGTAGCACATCACAGTCTAGTACATACCAAGCTTCAACCAAATCAAAGCTACAGATCGTCACATATAGGCCTGAAAAAGAAATGCCCATATAATGTGATGTCACATAAATCGTGATGACGTCATCATGACATCACTTCCATTCTCATCTAAAACACATCCCGCATGTAACCAGAAATTTGGGGAAATCGTTTATCCTTGTGTAGAGGATCCGTGCACAGGGTGAGCTCCGCAAAAGACCATGTATTTTTAGTTCCCAAGATTGTTTCACTTGATTTCCTCGATTTCCCTTCATCTCGGACTCGGAGCATGACATTAACGTCATTGGTAGCTGCTAAAATGTCAGGGAATTAAGAAGCATGCCTTGCCCTTCTTGAGCTTGTGACAATCAGACCCTGCACCTGCAACTTTCAAACATTTAGACTCTGTTGCCCTTTGGATGAACTTCAACAGTTTCCTGCCCTTTGCAAATGCTTCAGTTGATAGTTTACAGCACTCATGTTTATTCTCATGGGAAAACATAATTTTTGTTAAAGGGAAAATACAACATTTGCAAACATCAAAAAATAAAACTACCCAATCATTTTGAAATACCTTGCTGGACTGTTAGTGAATGACAGTGTAAAGCATCCTGTAAAATCATGGCACCTGGTATACTGTCATTTTCAAGAAAAGTGGTATTTTTGTATCAATTTCCAACGCTGGTCGGCCAACCAGCGTTGAAAAAAAACTGGCTTTTTTTCAAATACTGGCCCCAATTGACCATCGCACTTGTTTGCAATCGATTACACACCTATGAACTGTTACAAGCCAGCTAGACTGGTTCCCTGACCTTACAATTCCCCAATGTATGTAAACTGCTCTGTTTCTTCTTATATGGAGTCAGGGAACCAGACTACAGGAAAATGATTATTTTTCTTGGTTTTTATAGCATTTTCGAACCCAAAACCTCAAAAAAGTCAGTGTAACTATATTTGTTATATATTTCCAACCCCCCAATTCCATCCATTTCTGAAAATTACAGCAAAAGCAAATGATGTACATGTATATTCCCTTTAACGTGATGTATAGAACTTGAAAAGTCCAAGGTGGAACGTATTCCTCATTATGACATGGCAGGTCACATTTTTCTGCCTCATTAAAACCCAGCCCTGACAATGTCCTCATTTCCTCACGACCTGCTTCAAAACAAGGATTGTTTTCTCTTTTCGTTCCATGTTATTTTCTTGTTCTTTCGCAAATGTTCCCGTGGGTGATTTTTTTACAGCCGCTGTGAGGCAAGAGTTCTGCTCACATAGCGTCTGTTGTTAATTTGCTGGAAATGTTTCATTTCCCATTGTCACATGTCGGCATGTGGCAGGTATTTTTAAATCCGCTCTCCAGAGTACCGTTGAGGTAGTATCTCAATCTGTTGTGCCGTTAACTCTTTGGTTTTCCATTAAGTTTTTGCTCCTGGCAGGATTAAGCTTGAGATGCAATTTTTAAAATCTTATCATCTAGACATGCCAGCTTGTAGGGCTGTACATCTTCGAATAAGTTAACATTTAGACTCCTGAAAACGGTCAGAGCACACTGACCGGAACGTTCAGTTTATACCGCTGGTTCCTTTCAGAACCATTCTCTTAGTTTGAGAAATTATTCCCACATGGTGTTTCTGCAAACCTTTCATCTCCACCATGCAAAGCCTCAAATCTTACTTAATTTAGCATTTGATTATTCCAACTTTGACTTCTTCAAAATATTCTGATGTGCAAAATGTGATGATCACGTTTTACTTGATCCAGCCTTAAAATGGTCACTGAGGGGGATTTGCGTTCGCCTGACCTTGTCGAAAATTGACAACTTATACCACCCTTCTGTTTGATCAGTCACAGACAATCAAAAATTCATTCCACTTGCCCTTCCACGCCTTTTACACAGGCTAGTCACCAACAATCAGATCATATTTCTTGTACCGGTAGGCACTGTGACTAGTCATATTCCATCACCAGACAAAAGCAGGTAACTGGTAGTCACAGCTGGCTTACCAATCTCCTACAGCCAAAGCATAGCTCTATCAAGTTTCGTAACAAGCACTACCAGTCAATCCTGCCTTATGTGAGAGAAGAGCACTGAACTGTTTAAAACAGTCACTTGATTTATTTTGACTGCTGGGCTGGCTTTGTTGATTTTGCCAGCCGGAGAGGGCGGGTTAACAGAATACAAGGAACTGTCAGTGGAATGGCTGATATTTTTTTGACAGATTTCAAAGATGAAATTTGAGCTAATATTCTTTACGGAAGCTCTGAAATTATGTACAAAAGTGACTTTTGATAAAAGTGTGGTATTTGACAAACTATAAAACCACGCCACAGATATGATTATAAACATGACTTTTTCATCATTTCTCATCATTGATTCATCATATTTGAATTGGAAAAAAAATGCCATTCGGATATTCGGCTGCTGATCGAGTATTCTAATATTTGGTATGGTTGGCACAGCCCTACAAGCTTGATAAGGTTTTTGCAAGTTGTCAACACTCTGATATGATTCATCCAAAAAAGGAATCAGTGAAAATCCTGCAGGTCCCAACCGAGCTAGATTTGAACGGGTTTCTCTTCCTATTTGAATAACAATTTCTTTTGTGGGTTGTTGAAATAATAACCTGTTGACTTTCTGTATCGTTGGTCAGGTTTTCTCCATATTTTGGTAAGTCATTTAGAAAAAAAAACTGACTAGTGGGCTTTTAACATCTACCCATGGTGATTCTATTTATAAGTTGCAGACTTATACAATTATGGATGGTTTCCAACTCAAAATTAGTGGAATACTTGTATCCTGGAAGTTAGGGAGACAGACTCACATTGTCATAGTTCAGGCTTTTCAAACTTGATTTTCATGAACAAGTTTTGAATATTCCTTATTTTCATTGTTATGCAGGTGCTATGCTGTGCTTTGGCAAATCCTGCTTCTTCCGATTCAACAATCCCTCTGAGGCCAGACGGTTGAAGGAGAAGACTTCGCGAGGTGACACCGCCAGCCAGCAGACTACAGCGACAGACCGCCTCAATGCCAACACGAGGCCCAACACGAACGGCGTAACAACCAACGGGTACACGCCGCCCCGCGTGCAGCCCTTCCCCACAGTGAACTTTGGCCGAAGTAATGCCAACAGCAACCATAATGCTGCCACAACGCGCTCAAGCCACTTAGAGCAGACTATCGAAGCTGAGTTGAAGGAGATCATGCGGCAGGTCTCGACGGAGGACGAGTTCATGAACGAGACTTACAGCAACCAGTACGCGCTGCTTGACGGTTCGCCTGACAAGGACTATCTGAACCACCCCCGCGACGTCATCCCAAGCACCTCTTCGACAGACTCCAGCGGCAGCGAGATGTGGCCTGAGGCCGGCAGCAACCACCGCGACAGCGTCTCGCCCTTGTTTTTTGCCAACCACAGCGACATCCGAGAGACGGCCATTACGGATGACAATATAGATGGTGAAGACAGCGAGGCTAATGCCACCAGTGAGTACCAGCCCCCTGTCAGCACCATCAGGTCGAAATTTGAGGATGCCATCCGGAACAACAGCCCTAGTCCAACTCGCAAGCACTTCCACATCCAGACCAGCCCACGTGGGACCCTGGAGCGCGACCACCATAAAATCGGTCCCCAGTCCCCCACAAGAGTGAAGCTGGGACAAAGCAGTCTGTACAGCAATAAGAACGCCCTTACATCACCCACGCGGCGGGCGGACGGCGAACGATCGTCCAGCGACTCCAGTCTGAGCTCTACCTCACTCACAACGGTCACCAGCACTACCATGACAGCAACCACGGACAAAGACTCAACCGGATCAGATAATTCCGGAACCAGTCTGTCGTCATCACTGTCAACATCCTCGTGGAGCAAAGCCACAGACTCAACCGCCAGCAGTGAGGCGCCCGGCTCAGCCAATTCCGTCGTGAGACGGGAAACCAGACAAGAGTCTCAGAAGACACCGACACCTTCCTCCAACCCCACACCAACCGCCCAAGACCAGCGGTTCTTCGCCCCGACTGACGGCGACATCCGCCAAACGCTGATTGTCGACCCAGATGACTTTGAAGATCAGACACAAAAGGAGCTGTGCAAGATTCACATTCAGGCCGTGGCAGAGCGGAAAGAGGCGCAGAAGCTGGCCTCTCTGGAGAGGCAAAGAATGGAAGAAATCCTGAACATCTGCGCCGAGTACGAGGCCCAGGAACGAGGAGGGAAGCCGACAACTGCAGCCCCCGTCCCTCAAATCCCAACCCAGTCCGCCCAAGAGACTCCAACATCCCCTGAGAAACAGCTCCCCCAACAAAACACTGAGAAGCCCCTCATGACAAGCAGTCCCGTCAACGATCGGCGGGCAGCAGTAGACGCCAGTCCGATATCAATCGCATCTGACGCGGGTATCAAAGTTATTGTTGATTCACCGATCGTCAGGACAAACACGTCGATTCAGGAGACTCCTGCAAAAATCCAGCAGTCTGTCCCAGCACCGACGTCACCCAATAGTAATCAGAACGTGTGGTATGAACGTCTGAAGGACGACGGCAGTAAAGTGCCCTCTGTTGACGCCGCCACAATGCCAAAGATCAAAGTGGAGCCCGCACCACCCCCGAAACCGCCGCGGTTGGGAGTGCAGGACCAGAACTCGCTCAGCCCCGAAGGGAAGGTTAGTCCCCTCAGCTTGTCAGTGAAATTTTATATTTTACTGAAATGAAAAGTGTTGCATTTGTATTTGTACAGACTGTACGGATGTCTAAAAGGGACACTAGGTCCTGGAACAGCCCGATTGGGCTACAAAACGCGCTTTGAACGAGATGATGATAATCGGAAATAACATTTAAAAGTAGGATATAAACATCCACACAACTATCCTTTCAAAACTCGGCGTTTTTGTGTTATTCCAGTAATATGCATGTGAGAACGAATTTCGGGGTCCACTTTTGCGACTCCATAAATTCGAGCTGTTTGGATGCTAGTTGTGATTTCAATCGTATGCGTAGTGTTCGCCTTTTGCGGACGTTGAAGAAACCACTTTTTTTTTGCATTGGTGATTGGTCGCCGCTGTTCCCGAGACACACAACGTGTATATCGTACACTGAGAACGACACGAAAAACGTATTCGTACTCCGTCGTGTCTGATGTAAACAAGCGGGGTTTTTTGGTCTTTTGTCGGGAACGGTAAGACATTAGGTTGGTTTCCTTTCAACCAGATGTTTGAAATAGGCTAAGTAAACAATCCAAAACATGAAATTTTGGGGGATTTCAGGACCTAGTGCCCCTTTAAGCTGTTTAGATTCTATTCACTATCAAAGCGTTATGTATCAGTGTGGCCCAGGTCATGACATTTTCTCTGTTGATAAATCATGCTTTACCCATAGCAAGTCAGCAACCAATACAGCCATTTCAACTGAATGAATTTTGCTGTTGATATTTCTACTAGCTGCTCAGCAGTGGTGATATGTTTTGGAAATGAATGTAAATGCACAAACCATTACAAGTCATTTTTGTACTTCTTTGTTTGTACTTCATTTTTGTACTTTATTTTTGTACTTTATTTTTGTACTTTATTTTTGTACTCCATAACAGCCCCTAGTCATAACACTAATTTTGTATTTTCGTTTGATAGAGAACCTGTGTGGTTAGGGTAAGGCCCAAAAAAAAAAGTCTCCGGTTTCTGGTATGGAGCTTGCCCAAAAAGTGATGCGGCGACGCGGCTTTTTTTTTTTACCTGATATTTTTTGCTTCAAATGTCGGCTGATGACTGCAAATTGTGCCCAACTAAACTAATAGTGCAAATATATGGGAGCCCAGAGAGGCCACATCAAGCTTATTCTCGACCATAACCCAATCTAAAAACACGTTTAAATTGTGCAGCAGCAGGATTCCAGTCAAACCAGAGAGTTTGGCGGTTTTGACACATCATCTTTCATTGAAAAAAAAAACCTTTTTCATTTTGCCGACGCGCATGGCTACGGCGACGCGCGCGCATACCAGAAACCAGAGACTTTTTTTTTTGGCCTAAGGGTTAAACAAAGACTGGCCGCTTAAGCTCAAACTACCGGTAGCCTATGTGATTGGTCCATGAAGTATTGCATTTTCCTTTGGCTCTGTTTTGAACTGGAAGTAGTTTATTGTGGTATTGACCAATACTCGAAGGTCCCCTTCAATGGTGAAGCAGGTGCTTGTCTATCACGGGGCAGTTGCTTTGAACAATAGCTTGCACAGTGGTTTCTCCATTGAAGGGGGCCACATGGGTGTACAGTCATCACGTGCCCGGATTTGTATATACTGTAGAATAGTGCATCACGAAAAATGAGAATGTTTTCTCCATTTCCATAGCAACTCAGTGGCCAAGACATCGTCAAGGCCATCGCTAAGCTAGAAGAGGCTCGCTCGGACTCCATCCATAAGATTGAAGATCTGGAGCGCAGACTGGACGACCTTGAGGTGCAGGAATCAGAGATGCTGAGAGAGGTGGGTCACATGTCCACCGCATGACCATCACATGGTTGTCACATGGTCATCACATGACACTGGTTTTTGTTATGTGCTGTCGCAATGCTGCAGTGGTGATGGGTTGCGTTGCAGTTCAAACAGATGCTTATTAAAAGCGAACTGTGAATTCACAGAGCATACATTTGCTTATGGAATAAATTTGTGCTTGGCTGGTATTAAACAAGCACGTTTAAAACCGGCTAGGGGCCTTGAAGCTGAGGGCCACTATCTGCGTCCAGACTACCAGCCGGTTTTAAACGTCCTTGTTTAAGACTATTTGTTCCCATTCATAAAAACCTTTCAGTCAAAACAGTAAAAAAAAACACAATGTTCCAATGATTTGGATCACCAATTTGACCTCCTGTTTTGTGAAACACCCCTGCTATGTCTATGATACGTGCCTTGTGCAAGTACCGATAGTGCTAAAAAATCTATTTTAAGGAGGTTGGCACACATACTGGATGATGTGGCGCAGAATGCAGCGGTGCAGGAATAAAGTGTTTAAAACCAGTGTTTTATCAACCGTTTAAAACCACCCATGTGAGAGCCCTTCACATAGGAAACTGTGTTAGGTATTTATGAATGTCGTTTTAAAACCAGTTGTAGAAAAGCTGATTTATCAGTTTGATGATAATTCTGAAAATTACGAGGACAAGAAATTTTGCAGTGGTGAAAAAAAAAAGAATACCAAAAATTCACTCGAAGCTCAGAGCCATCTAATAACAAATGCATCACTCACCAAAAACAATTCATCTGAAAATTTTAAGCAGCAGCTCAATTTCTTTGTTTGCGCATATTTTGTTTTTGCCAAAATCTCTCGCCTAATTTTGTTTTTATACTTTTCTCTCTTTTTCTTTGACTTTTCTCATTTCTACGTTGTGTTTGTCGTCATCGTCATGTCAACTGTCTTTAACCATTTTTCCTTCAAATTATCCTTTATTCTTCTAACATACATCTGTTCAATCTGATTAACGTGGATCGGTTGATATGTTTTACTTCCTTTCTAATTTTAATTTTTACCAATTTCTATTTTGCCACTGTTTTCCTTTCATGTTTTGACACACTGCCGTCTCACATTGCCTGTCTCATTTGCATAAATGTTGGCATGTCCCAAATCTGTCCCATTTTCCACATTTCCTGGAATGTAAAATTCATGACATGAACCCTCTCTTTGCAATTAACAACCCAATATCCACTAATTAAAAACTCGCATTACCACGTGTGTACTTTTCAATAACTTTAAAATTCATCTACTTGCATGACCAAAAAAATTCCACTCTTAATACACTACAATTTACCTTCCTACCTTCATTGTGACTGCTACTTCGATGTTCCAACCCATCGTTGTCTTGTCTGGCTCTGTGTCTGTCAATCATGTGACACTCAACTGATCCTCACATGATCGTTGCATGGCCATCACATGGTTGTCACATGGTGATCACATGGTTGCCACATGGTCACCACATGATCCTCACATGATCAGATGGAGATTGAGGCAGCACTCCTCGAGGGTGAACATCGCAGCGAGCTGACGCAGTTGCAGCAGCAGCAAGAACTGATAGGCACGCTCAAACGCACCAAGCACAGTATTACCAGAAAGGCCATAGAGCAACGAGAGAGGGTCCGTGATTAGAAAAATAATAATAATCAACATACATATATATCTCTGATATACCCCCTGGTCAGATGCAGGAAAATATTACCCCTGTTCAGAAGCAAAAATATGCCCCTGGTCAGATGGAGAAATATACCTCTGGTCAGGAGAAAAAAATGTAACCCAAGTCAGATGGAGAAATATTACCCTTGGTCAGAAGCAAAAATATACTCCTGGTCAGATGGAGAAATATTACCCCTGGTCAGAAGCAAAAATATTACCCCTGCTCAGAAGCAAAAATATGCCCCTGGTCAGATGCAAAAATATTAACCCTGGTCAGAAGGAGAAATATTACCCCTGGTCAGAAGCAAAAATATTAACCCTGGTCAGATGGAAAAATATACCTCTGGTCAGGCGAAAAAATGTACCCCTGGTCAGATGGAGAAATATTACCCCTGATCAGAAGCAAAAATATACCCCTGGTCAGATGCAGAAATATTATCCCTGGTCAGAAGCAAAAATATTACCCCTGGTCAGAAGCAAAAATATGCCCCTAGTCAGATGCAAAAACAGTACCCCTGGTCAGATGCAGAAATATTACCCCTGGTCAGAAGCAAAAATATACTCCTGGTCTGATGCTGAAGCAGTTCACTTTTATGCTCCCCAATTCACATTCAAAAATGTTATCTTTCTGATCGAAGGAAAAAAATAACACCACTGACAATGCAAAAATATTTGCTAGTATTCAGAGGCAAAAATATTGCCCAAATCAGATGTTACATTTTACCTGATCAGTTGCAAAATACTCCCCCGATCAAATTTAGAAAATATTCCCTCTGGTAATATGCAAGAATATCCTCTGGTCATATACAAAAAAAAATATTCCCACAGTCTGACTCAACTATTATCCCAGGTCAGATCCAAAAAATATAAACCTTGGTCAGATACAGAAATTCTTCTTCCATGAGACCGAAAAAGATGACCCTTGGTCATATTCTGCATTTCAAACCTTTTTGGATGGAGAAATGTACCCTGTGTGACCAAAAAAACCAGTAGTAACTGCTCAAAATTCTCATTCTACTAAGGTAACCCAGTGGATTCCGTAGTGGTTGTCTGTTAAAAACTGTACTAGTCTGTGCAGTTTTCTTCCAGTGTTCTCAAAAAACATTTCCCTTTTCTTTTTAAAATTCTTTTAGGAGCGCCAGCAAGTTGACCAGGCTCGCAGCCACCTCCAGCACCTGGAGCAGGTCCACCTGGAAACAGAACGGCAGCTGCAGGCATGCCCCATAGGAGAGACAGCCCGCAAGCATGCCCTGCTGTCCCAATACCAGAGGGAGGTAGAGAAGTTGGAGCAGGAGCGCAAGCGCTTTGAGGATCTGGAGTTCCAGCAGCTGGAGACGGAGGCTAGGATTGAGGAGGAGAGGGAGATCATGGAGCAGGAGCTGAGCATGGAGGAGTCCAAGGAGGAGGAGAAGGTTAAGACTAGGAAGGTGAGCAGGAGACGTTCTCTTCAAGTCAGTCACAAGTCATCACAAGTCAGTCACAAGTCAAAGCACTATTCAATCACAAGTCAATCACAAGTCAATCACAAGTCAATCACAAGTCATCACAAACATCACAAATCAGTCACAAGTCAATCACAAATCAATCACAAGTCAATCACAAGTCAATCACAAGTCAGTCACAAGTCAATCACAAGTCAAAGCACTATTCAATCACAAGTTAATCACACGTCAATCACAAGTCAATCACAAGTCATCACAAGTCAATCACAATTCAATCACAAGTCAATCACAAGTCATCACAAGTCAATCACAAGTCAATCACAAGTCATCACAAGTCAAATCACAATCAATCACAAGTCATTACACGTCAATCACCAGTCAATCACAAGTCAATCACAAGTCAAAGCACAAGTCAATCATAAGTCAATCACAAGTCAAAGCTTAAGTAAATCACATGTCATCTCAAGCCATCACAAGTCAATCATAAGTCATCACAAGTCGTTACAAGTCAGTCATACATGCGTTAACACATGTCAGCCATAAGTCACCACAAATTCACCACAAGTTATTATACATATACAACTCATCGGACCTTTTTTGTGATCCGTGGACAGAATTTTAAAATGGTGTTTGTGTTCAAAATGCCGTAGCTTGAAAGAAAGCTCATTAATTAAGCTTTGTTATCCTAGATTTTGAAAGTGCTACAGGCAAAACTCATTCAAAAATTGTTCCTTCCATTTGGGATTCTTTTTGTGTGTGTTATTTTTACTTACCCTCATCTAGTTGAATGAACAATGATACATAAATGCCTTTATCGCTTGTCGAGTGAGGACTAGACTCAGATTCATAGCTTACATGTAAAACAGGCTTCATCATTGGTGCAATATTCATGAAATGTATGCATACGAGACATGGAAATTAGACTAGTCCTCAGTCCCTCTATCAGCTTTCCAACTAAATAATTACAGAGACCGGAATCAGCCAAAATGTCCGAAGTTTCAATGAATGCAATTTGATGACCTTTTTTTTGACAGGTAAGTTATTTCTTTATTACTTATTTTATTTGTTAAATTTTTTGGGGGGAGAGGGAGAGTAAGGAACTGAAGTTTATATATACCGCTCTCTTGTGTTCATCTTATGTCCAGGTGAACGTGACGGACATTGACAAGCAGATGACCCACGTCATCACGGACGCCAAGGTGAAAGCTGAGCAACTCGAGCACGACCAGAAGGCCACGGAGCAGGAACTGGTCAAGGTATGGGACTTAATGGGCCCTATGCCTAACCAGTAGAGGGCGCTGTTATGCCATATCAGGTTTATTATAGACAGTTGAATGAATAAAGCAAGCTCTCTTCCTACATGTATTTTCCCTTTCCATCAGAAGTCATGTCTTGTGATACCTGGAGCTTTATCAAATATAACGTTGCAAGTTGACCCCAGCAAGCTTGGTGGTAGTCTGAACGCTGACGCAAAATGGCAGGTTATTGTGGACAGCCATTTAAAGTCTTGATTCTGGTCAGCGCGGCGATTGTCAGCTTGACCTATGACGTAGGGGTCAACCTACATGTACATGTAATTTAAATACCTATGAGTGTACCATTCCGGTTCGTTAGTAAAACCATCATACAAGCGCGCACCACTTATTACAAGCGCCCATTGGATAAACACTCAAGTTACGTTAACTTCTGGTTCCATTCGTGCTATGCTACACCGTGTGAAGTATGCATGGTTAAGTTGAGATGATGGGGGGGGGGGGATTCCGCCTCCCCCCCCCCCCCCCCAAGATCTCGGCCATCGAGTGACAAAAGAATTTGAAACTCGGTACGTGCATAGAGCAACTCATCATGAACATACCCAACAAATTTCATGACTGTAGGTCAAAGGGTTTTGGAATTATGGCTAATTAATTATTCATTTGTACGAAAGGCAATTTTCACGGCTCGTAGCGCCGAAAAATTTGTCCAATTTTTATGTTTTCGTGTACAAGAGAAGTACGCCAATCAAACTGAAGGGAAGGGGGCACAGCTAGCGTAGCAACCAATAAGATATCAGAAGCACAACGCTGTAGCCTGTCCTCATGTACACGTGTGATATGAGGTCAGATCTCTGGTCTAGCATGGTGGTTGAGTGTTCATTATATCGGTTCAATGCAGGAGAAGGAACGATTAGCAGGCATCGAGAAGGAATATAACAGCTTGGTGATGTACTACTCAAGAAGGTCAACTGGAGATCAGGAGGAGACACCAGAACTGGTTAGCAGTTTGAAAATTCATGATCATTCCTTTTTTCTTCTTTTTTAATTGAGCACTTAGTCAGTTTCCTTTCGTGGTTTATTTGAAAATGTGTTAACAAAAAGCTGTATCCTCTCGGAGAGATCCTCATTTGCTGTTTCCCAGGTTTGAAGGATTGATAATGTTGCTAGCATCGTGACTTTGGGCAGGATCCCTGGCTAAACAGCATATACGGGTTTATGGCTTCTGACTAATTGCCCCTTAAACAAAGATGGTGACAAAATGGGGAGCCGCATAGCTCAGTTGGTAGAGCACTGGAACGGCAAACCGGAGGTCGCAGGTTCAAAACCCGCTCCAGTCAATTTCTTCGTTCAATTTTTACTGCACTCAACCATTAGAAATAAAGCCTGATTAGATAACGGATATTTATTTTAAAAAAATGTCTGCAGAAGAAGATCCGGGAATTGGCCGAGCGTCGCCTGCGCCTTCAACCAGAGATGTCCCTGAGTGACGAGTTCCTAGCCACACGCAAGTTCAACTCCCTGCCCAGGAACAGTAAAGGGGGAGGGGCCGCCAAGGGCCCGCCCAGCGACTCCTCCTCCAGCCCCTGCCAGCTGTCCCCGGCCTCCTCCCACAACAGCCTGCCTCGTAAGGGGGACACCCTGGGAGACATCGAACGGCACCGCCGCATGACGCTGGAAGAGAAAGGTAGGGCGTCCTCTAGCGATGAGGATAAATTGAGAGAGAGGAGGACATAGTCTGAGACAGTTTGTTTTCAATCAAACAGTTTAAAGGGAAGATACAACATTTGCAAACATCACAAAACGAAATGATCAAATTATCACGAAATACCTTGTTGGATTGCTAGGGACTGACAGTCTCAAGCATCCTGTAAAATCGTGGCTCCTGGTGTGCTGTCATTTTCAAGAAAAATGATATATTTCCAACGCTGGTCGGCCGACCAGCGTTGGAGAAAACTGGCTTTTTTCAAGAACTGCTTCTTATTTTTCATAATTAGTTATTCTGCGTTTTCTTTGCAATTGCTTACACACCTGTGAAGGGGTACAAGCCTGCTAGACTGATTCTCTGACCTTACAATTCCCCAAAGTCTATAAATTGCTCCGTTTCATCTTAAGTGGGGTCAGGGAACCAGACTACAAGAACATGATTGGTTTTCTTGGTTTTTTCCAGCATCTATAAAAAATATTTGCTATAGCGTACTAATCTTTCAAATCCATTTATTTCTGAAAATTGCAGCAAAAGCAAATGTTGTACATTCCCTTTAAGGGACTCTTAAAAACACATCTGTTTTAATCGTACCTTGTAGTCTGTATTTTGTTCTGATGTAACATGCTCATATCATAGATCAACACATTTAGGGTTTTGTTCGCATTCTCCCCTGACGCTTTGTATCCTTTGGAAAAGGTGCTTTATAAATACAGTTGTATTACTAAATGTACCATTAGGGAGACACGTTATCGTAATTTCTGCGATAATAGGGAGACACCGGTCATTAGGGAGACACATAACTGTGTCCCTAATGGCACAGCCCCCTATAGAGGCAAAATTTTAGTGTCGCAATTAGGTTATAATTGTTGCTCGTGGTCTCATTAGTAAACGTACCAAAATTCGTGGAAAAAGGACAAGGGAATATTGGGTTAGGGCATATTTAAGTTAAACAAAAATTTGGGACAAGTCTATGGGAAAGTCTGCCTAATGACCCATTCCTGGTAATAATAATAGTTATACGACTAAATGTACCATTAAGGAGACAAGGTATCGTAATTTCTTCGAACGGTGGGAGACATCGGTCATTAGAGAGACATTTTCATGTCTCCTTAATGTCGCAGCCCCCTTTAGAGGCAAAATTTTATCGTCGCAATTAGATTACATTTGTTGCTCGTGGTCTAATTAGTAAACATACCGAAATTCGTGGCAAAAGGACAAGGATATATTGGGTTAGGGCACATTGAAGTTTGAAAAATGTTGTGAACAAGTCTATGGGAAAGTTTCCCTAATGACCCATTTCCGGTAATTACTATAATTATTTGTATTATTATTATTAAGAAAAAAGTCCATTGTATTACACTAAATAGGATCGCTATGCACTGGCGTTACACCGTATTTATGGCTGCATTGAGGCAACTGTTGTTTTCAATCACAAATTCTTCCAGCATAATGCGCGAAGAGCCGATAAGCTTCTCAGTCATGCATGTATAAGATCTATTCTACAGATGTGTACAGTGCGATGCAGTTTGGATACTTGAGAATGACATGGATAAAATATTGCTCTCATTTGTCCATTTTTAATTTTAAGGAATGAGTTCAGGCCAAAAATCTTCCATGTTAATTCTTACTGCGAGCTTTTTTTTTTTATATAAAGTCATTGGAAATAAAACTTAGAAGGTTAGCGACAGGCACACGCAAGAGGCCAACAATGCTATAGAGCAATATTATTCTCAAGAAAAAGTGTTGAAGTTTAACTGCGGAAGTTGAATCCATCATTTTGGTCCATTTTTCTTTGGTCACTGAAAGGAGACCGACTGATTGAGGAAGAGCGCCACCGATTGGAGGAGCTCTGCCGCCAGGCGACGAAAGAGGCCACGATCCAGTGGGAGGAACAGAAGCAACGAGAACAGCAGCAGCTGCTGACGCCCGGTTCCCCAAAGCAAACCGGTGCCCCGAATACCATCAGTCCCAGTAGCTCCCTGTACAGCACCCCGCGTCAGTCGGCCGGCTCCCCCACCCATCCCCCCTTGGGTGCGGACTCGCCTGCCGCGGTGATGTCTAGTAGCGACTGCGCCAGTGTCTCAAGCTTCGAGAGTATCGAGGGGCACTTGGAGACGTCCGGGGTGTACTCTGGGAACTCCACACCTTCCAGAACATTCAGCACAGGGTAAGGGTCAATTCACGTGCCTTGTAAATTACAAAATTCATTACTGAGAATTGTAATCTGAAGTCAGATTCACAAGTCGGGTCACAAGTAGCAGAGGATGAAAAATGACCAAGGAATGCCCCTGTCAGAGCCGACTTAAGACTCGATGACTTGTGATGACCTGTGAGGACCAGTGTTGTAGTACTCGTACTCGGTACTCATACTCGAGTACTACTCGAGTACTTTTTTTAGAGTACTCGTACTCAACTCGTACTCGAAACAACGGTACTTGTACTCGGGCAGCAAAGTACACGTTCTCGACATGTCGAAATTGTACTCGATCACCAAAGTACTCGTACTCGAGTAACAGTACTCGAAAAAAAAAATGGTGTAGCTTGACTTACCACAGCCTTATTTTATTATCAATAATTTCAGTTGGAAATGGTTGATTGTTTGTAGAGATATCAAAGTTTCCTGATTTTTATCTGTGCAAGGCCGGACAAATACATTTAATAGCTAGCCGTGAGTGGGTCTGTGTGTTGGTCTGACATGGGCCTGGGCCAATAATGCACAATGAACCATTTGTTGTATGGCCGTATTCGGAAATAGAAGTACTCGTACTCGGCATACAAGTACTCGTACTTGTACTCGGAAGTACAAGTACGAGTACTCGGAGACCTGAACTTGTACTCGGAAGTACAAGTACGAGTACTCGGTAACCTAAGTAACCTAAGTAACCTAAGTACTCGGCAGTACTCTGTACTCGGAAAACAGTACTCGACTACAACACTGGTGAGGACCCATGATGAGTTGTGACTGACTCGATGAAAACATTGCCTTCCTTGTAGCCTTGTATCGTTGTGCATAGTGAATATTTTTTGACAAGGTCTGTCACGAGATGTCAACATTTTGCAGGTAAAACATGATCGGTATTCCCAAGCCTTTTATATTCCCATTTAGTGTGCATTCATAGATTCGTACGTTGCAGACAGTCAAACCAGCCATCCTAGTATAGGATCTTTGTCAGTTTTTTCCATTGATGAGAAGTTCACTGTTTGAAAACTCATCCAACTCCGAGGTGTAATCAAATAAAGATCATTGATCATTCGCAAGATAACCACAAGTCGCCCAGTATAGATGAACTGTGGCAATGCTTGCCTTTGCACTGTTCGTCCATTTTACTTGTGATTGTCTGTTGACTTGTTCACCTGAAATTTGTGATTGACTTGTGATTTGACTCGTGATTAACTTGTGACTTGACATGCTATTGCTTGTGGGTGATTTATGTTTGACTTTTGATTGACTTGATTTTGGACTTGTGATTTGACATGTGCTTGACATGTGCTTGACATGTGATTGACTTGTGATTGACGTGTGATTGACATGTGATTGACTTGTGACTGACTTGTGACTGACTTGTAGTTGATTTATTATTGACTTGTGATTGACTTATTGATTTCCTTGTGATTTGACATGTGATTAACTTGTGATTGACATGGGATTGACTTGTGTTTGACATGTGATTAACTTGTGATCGACATGTGCTTGACATGTGATAAACTTGTGATTAAACTTCTTACCTCGCTTGTGACTGAATTTTGATTGACTGGATTACAACTCTGAAACTTAAACCAGTTCTCTCCCTTCCTCACCCACCTCCCTCCTTCTCCCAGGCCCAGCTTCACCAAGGAGGAGCGTGAGAAGCTAGCGGAGATGGAGCGTCTCCTCAAGGAGGCCCAGGCGGAGAAGCAGGCCCTCCTGAACCAGCAGGTACCCCCCAATAAAGCAGGCCAACAAACCCAACCCCCCGTGAGTTATCCCCCCTTTGTCTGATTTGAAGCAGCTGGCCAGCCGAGCAACTGCACCGCTGAGCTTAGAACATCACCCTAGCATTGCTGTATCCAACATCTGCTTTGGAAAAATAAAAAAGGCTTGTAGAGTGCTGTAGAACTGCTACCCAATTCATCAAAACTTCTTGTGGGCAATTCCATATTCCGTATTTCGTGGGAAAAACGCTTCCTAGCCATAATTTTTTTTTTTGCAATCCTTGGTGCTTTATTCTCCACACTGATTTGCAATTATTCATAAGATAGAATTTTGCGTCGGGGTGATTCACTCGGGAGGTAACACACTGAGTATACAGTGTTTATACGTCGGTGAAGGGCAAAATACTAATTTGATTTGCAATTAATTATGAATACCGCAGGGTGTTATGTGATCAAGTTAATATATTTCCCACGGGCCGAGAAACTTGCGGTAAGGAATTGTCATTCAAATTTCAGCAAACCTGATTTCAACTTGTCAAAATTTGACAAACACTGTGTTGGTATTTGACATAAACAAGACTTTTCGGAGTTCCAACTGCGCATTCGTAACCTGTGACAACGCGCATTGTTCAAATGTCTCAAATTGTCTCAAATGGCCTTTGACAACATCGCGCCACTGACTTTACAAAAAGGCTGTTTGTGCATTGTGGGTACTGTCAAAGGGCATTTGAGACAAACAATGTGCGTTGTCACAGGTTAGGAATGCGCGCAGTTGGAACTCCGAAAAGGCTTATTGGGAACGCAGCGCCTTGCTCCTGGTTTTGACAAATGCCACCGACGCAGAAAAGCCTGCACATCTGCACATTATTTGTCGGAGTGCTGATAGCTAGCTGGGCGTTCTCCCCGTATGATAGGTACACGTACTATGCGATTTCAGCAGCTGTAGCAAATGAGCAGAGAATAAGCATAACAAAGGCACATTGTCATGCAATGCAAATGAGTCTGCCGAGCTCCCTGGTGGCTGGTAACTAATGCCCAAATTTAGTTTGCCAACTTCGCTGACCTCGCGAACGGTCGTTTTTGAAGGCAAGCCTTAGAACGTTGAAAATAGATCAATTTTTAAAATTCTCTGAAATTAGGAGAGATCCTAATATCTGACCTTTGTTTAGCTGTTTTACAATGCTTTCAAGTTGGCTAAAAGAATTTACCACCGATCAACTCCAGAGTTTTTTTTTTCTTCCCAAATTCATTGTAGGGAAAAAAGTGAACTTTCTACATCCCATACGACACGTTGCATTCCTAGCAATAATAGAAAAAAGTTAATTATTGAGTAATTGGGGTACCACTATTTTATTGTGCCCAGGATCCATTTTATTCTAATACTTTTAAACGAGCTGGAAAATAATCTCTGAATGACCCATACGACACATGAGAAATAAGAAAATTTACTTAATTTTTCTGAAAACCCTTAAACTTGTTTTTTTTTCTTCAAAAGTCCGCAGATGCCTTTTTTTAATTTCATTTTACAAAAAAAAGGCCTGATAGCTTCATCCTACGGTACACCCACCTTTGTACTTAAAAAAAAATCAGGAATGTAGCCGCACTACTTAAGAATGTCAGGCAAAATTCTCTGAAACTTCTTCTGGGTGTTATTTTTCGGTTCAATCTATCGTAAAATACCGGTACCTGGGGAGAATTCATCAGTTGTGCATTGTTTTGTTTTCTTATCCAACTGCCACACATGGGTTGCACAGCGTTTTTCAATTGATGTCTGTGGTGTTAATAAAACTCAGTTCTTCTGTTGTCAAGAAATTTAAAAGTTTTAAAAGCAGGATACTTTATGACAGTTTGTTAGGTTTTCGTAAACCCCCTCTTTGTGTGGCTTGTGCTTGTCAAGTTTGCTGCAACGCTGAGCTCAGAACACCTTTGTAGCTTTGCTGTATCCTACATCTTCTTAAACACAGAAACAGAGCTTATAGATGTAGATAGGAGTAAAACTCCTTAACAGCACTGTCGCGGCAAGTTCTAAGTTTAAAAAATTGATATCATAATTTCCACTTTTTCCTTACCGTATTGTGATTTTTGTACAAAACAAAAGTTTTACCAAAAAAAAGAAAGAAAGCTGTGTGTAGTAATTTTTGGCGTGTTTGTTGATGAAAAAAAAAGGTTAAAAAGGTTTATCTTTGGGTTAATCTGAAAATGAATCGGACTGCTGCAAACTGCTAACTGACTGGATTGACCAGAAATATACAAATCTAAAAATTAATGTTCCCCGACGTTGCGAACTTTACAAGTTCTACTTTATCCGCTGAAGAAGAACTTGTTAATTTTGCAACGTTAAGGTGCTTGACTACTGAGCACAGTAGAGTTCTTAAGCTCTTGTCTTTCTAGCCCTATCGAGCTTCCTCCGCTTGGCACTGAATATTTAGCATTTGTTTTGTAGTACAACTCAGGTTTGAATATTTTGTCACCATGTTTTCAGAATCGCTTAAGACAAGCCGAAGGGCAGCTCCTGAGGGAGGAACAGCGGAAGAGGGAAGACCTGGAACACCAGCTGAGGGAGGAGACACTCATGAGGGAAGAGCTGGTGCAGACCCAAGTCCGGATGAGGGAGAAGCAGAGGAGCGCACAGGTGAGTTGGACACATGCAGAGGGAGGCATCACAGCACATGGAATGACCATACACCTGCCAATCAATTAGTGCGCATTGACCAATTGGATCACGCCTTTTGGTCAGGTGACCAGGGTATGCTGTAAGAAATGTACAGAAACCAAAAGTGGGTGTGGCTTAAGGCCAAATCCAGAATGGTTCATTGCAGGGAGGGTAAAGAAAAAATATAATTTCACTTTTTACATTATGAAAACAAAATGTCATATATCATTTATCCAAACAACTGTTCACCCCCAAGATAGATGGAGATTTTGAGACATCCAGGTTTATGTAAATTTTAGACGATTGAAACAAGCCAACTGGACTAAACTTTAAATAGGGAACAGTTTCATGACCTATCCTGGTCGCTTCCTCGGCTCAAAATGGGTGGCGGGAACGGATCAGTGCTTGAAGAGGCGTTGCGTTCGCCCCTTTTGTTTTTTTTGCTGATCACCGGAGCGTGGTGTAGGGGAGCTCTGATTGCCTCAATTGTTGTTGCAACGTTGAGGGATTTTCCTGATGGCCGGCTTGTAGATCGCTGATAGGCGATGCCATAGTCCCCCGCCTCTTCAGGCCCCGGTCCGTTTTGAGCCAGATAGGTCCTGAAACTGTTCTGTATCTATATTTAGTAAGTTTAGTCCAGTTGTCTTGTTTCAGTTGTTTTTCGAATGTTGACCCTCTACTTTAAATTGTGAAGTTTTGAGTGTGACATTTTATTTTTGGTTACCAATGTGATAAAAAAACAGATACTGCTCTGAAAATCTAATGTTTTTGTAGAAGAATTTTTTCTTAAAAATTTCCTTTGTTGGTTTTTTTTTTTTTCCAGTCGAGACCCCTGACAAGGTTTCTACCGATCACCAGTCATGACTTTGATCTGAGGGCCCACATAGAGAACGCAGGACACAATGTGGAGATGTGCCAGGAGGTATTATAATGTTATTATTATTAATTATTTCTGGCAATGAAACCAAGGAAATTGAAATAGAAATCCTAGAATATCATTTTCACGAATATTCAGCATTCACTGAGCTGAAACGTTAGGTTAGTTGTTAGCACCCTTCTTTAGATTTTGAGCACTTTCATTGCTTCAAATGAAGCAAATGCACAAATAACAAGTGATGTACTCTACCTTTAAAGAAAAGAGAGCTAGGTCACCACCGGCACTGTACGTGGATTGTTTTGGACGGTACAAGCAAAACACCAGTGAAGGGCAAACATCCAGGTTAACCCCCCAATGTCAAAATTCCACCCAAGTCTTTTTTTCTTCTTCTTTGCAGGCCACCCTGTCTCGCAACACCTGCCGCGGCTACATGATCAAGATGGGCGGCCGCATCAAGACCTGGCGCCGGCGCTGGTTCGTCTTCAACCGCACCAAGCGCTCCTTCCTCTACTTCTCCTCGGACCGGGACGAGTCCCGGCCCAAGGGCGGCATGTACTTCCAGGCCATCCAGGACGTCTACTTCGACCACCTGCGGCCCCACAAGAGCCCCGACCCCGTGCTGACCTTCTGCATCAAGACCAAAGAGCGGACATTCTTCCTGGTGGCTCCGACGGCCGAGGCCATGCGGATATGGATGGACGTGATCGTCACGGGGGCGGAGGGGTACAAGGAGTTTCAGTGAAAGCTCGAAATTGACCTGGAATGGAAGCTTGCATGACAAACATCCATGACATGAGCAAGACTGCGTCTTGACCTCCAGATTCTGACTATTCAGTGGGCACCTTCTATCGGGTCTTCGGTAACCCAATGTTGTTAAATGACAAAAAAAAACAATTGCAGCTATTGACCAATCAACAATTTCTGCTCTAAATCACGTCACAACTTCTAAAAGCGGCTCCGATAAGCTGGTGTACAGACCGCATAAAAATTACATGCAAGGATATATCAGAAATGTGTGGTTTGGCTCTGCAAGCATGAACGTCTGATCCCAAGACTCGGAAAACGATTTTCCATTTGGAGTTTGAAGTTGAAGTTTCCAGGAATTGTCATCCAATTTTGATCAACTTTTTTGGCTTGTTGCCCTGTGACCTAATATCAGTAGTGCAACTCGGGAATGAAACGTCATACCTTTTTGCCTAGATTCTGGACGTAATTTTAACTGCATTTATTATGAGTTTTATGATCACGGAAAGGACGCACTGTGTTCTGACAGCTGTTAACTTTTGAACCTGTGAGAGTTTCCCACTAAATTTGTTTTGTCACTGCCCTCCAGTTTGGATATTAAGATTAAGAGTCAGAGAACAGTGGGAATTTCTACTGCAGCTTTCTGCTTTGACGACCTTTGCTCAAGTTAATGAAAAGACAGTAGGGACTATGTGTTGCAGGTTGTGTATTGTGAGCTGGGCAATAAACAGGTTGCCAGTCTACCACTTAAGGCAGGCATGCAACTTTTCCTCGGATCAGCTGATTTCCTCTTTTTTTATTCCCATTTCAGCCATTCAAAATAGAAAAACACTGTACAAAGTCTTCTGAATTTTGGAATTTCCTCTTTTTTGTGAATGTACAGTTGCATGCCTGTTAAGGGTCTGCAGAAGCCAGTTCATGAACTGACGACCACAAGGAAAGTGTGATTCCTGCTGCAGAAACATAGGAATTAGGAACATTAAGATCTTAAAACATGTTCTTGTTAAAAGTATTTTTCCAAAAAGACAATTTTTATATTGGCTGTTTGTAAGAACAAGACATGGCTTGCCAAGTACATGTAGAACTGGACCCAAAAGTCTCAGTGTAGGGCATTATTTATAGTCAGTGATTCAGTCAGCCAGTGACTCAGTCAGTGACTCAGTCAGTGACTCATTCAGTCCTCGGGGAGTGATTTAGTCAGTGACTCAGTCAGTGACTCAGTCAGTGACTCAGTCAGTGACTCAGTCAGTGAATCAGTCAGTCAGTGACTCAGTCAGTTAGTGACTCAGTCAGTGACTCGGGGAGTCAGGCAGCCAGTGACTCAGCCAGTGACTCAGTCAGTGACTCAGTCAGTGACTCAGTCAGTGACTCGGGGAGTGGGGGAGTCAGTGAATCAGTCAGTCAGTGACTCAGTCAGTTAGTGACTCAGTCAGTGACTCGGGGAGTGGGGGAGTCAGTGACTCAGTCAGTTAGTGACTCAGTCAGTGACTCGGGTAGTCAGGCAGTCAGTGACTCAGTCAGTGACTCAGTCAGTGACTCAGTCAGTGACTCAGCCAGTGACTCAGTCAGTGACTCAGTCAGTGACTTGGTCAGTGACTCAGTCAGTCTGTGACTCAGTCTTCGGGGAGTGACTCAGTCAGTCAGTGACTCAGTCAGGGACTCAGTCAGTCAGAGGACACTAGGAGCAAGTTCGGGTGTGAACTATAGTAAACCACAGTTCGACTAACTTCACTTGAACAAAGGATGGTTGGACTACCCTAGTTGACTAGTTGGAATCAGAGCCAGGGGCACGGTTCCATTGCTGGTTACCAATAGCCATCCGCATCGTAAAGCACAACGTGGAGACAGGACATTTGACCATCATTTGTCTAGAGGCGTTCGCGCGTCGCTATTAATGCGCAGGTGTCAGTTATGTCACAAATCAACCACCAGTCGACTAATGGTCCTATCACCCGAACTGGCTCTCATCTGGTCCTTTAAAGTCCAGCAGTGCTGGTTTTTATCTAAAATACAAATGGACAGATGCATTTTTATGACAAATGAGGCAAGCTCAATGTATATAAACAAAAATTGAATCAATGTGTAAAAAGCCCACATGTACATACAAGTTTGACAAAAACTAAAGGTGCCGACTTGTGTTCTATGCACTGCCAGAATTTCTTTAGTGTGAAATTGCCACCAAAATGTAGTTGGGATTCTTTCTTACAAGAGGCAAAAACATACCTAGACTTCTGAATTCTGGTTCCATAAGATGCTCCATGGTGGGAGATGGTGCTTGAGAACTTCCATATTCTTTTCAAAAGATGCAATGTGTCGGGTGATGTAAATTCAATACTAGGTTTTGCCCGTCAATGACGTATTTTAATAGTATGTGATTCGAACCGGCCAGCCGACCCTGGCAAGCTTGGTGGTCCAGTGGTAGGACGTCTGCACTAGTAAGCAGGAGGTCATGGGTTCGAGTCCCAACCCGAGTAGTTTGTGGATTTTGTTTCACAAGCACTCGGGACAACACGGAGAATGCAGAGTGTTTTATAATACGTGTACAACAGTGAAGGAAAATGAATCCTATATTGATTTTCATATTCTTGGCAAAAACCCAGAGTGTCATAGGCAGGAATTGAACCTTTGCCCTCCCATTTGTAAGTGTGGATGTAAACAAATTTAAAAAGGGTTTTAAAAGTTTTCAGGAATGTGTATATGCTAAATATTTGAAGCTTTATTCAAAGTTGGGGATAGGGAAGGGGCGGGGATTATGTTTGGCCACGCCTTCAATTCAAAACGCAAGTTGATTGGTCAGCGCCCACATTTGGGGGCATTTTTGTACAAAAGGTGTGGAATATTTAATTGTATTCAATGCAACTGTAAAATATTAACATATTTTCTTTACATATTAAAGCCTTTGAAGTGTACTTTTCAATTAAATTCATCGACAAAATGTGGTCCTTTTTCCCAATTAATTTATTTACCCAAGGACACAGAATGGAAAGTTATTGGCAGTACAGATATTTTGTCTTTAATTTGTTGCCTTGTTTGATTACAGGTGATGCACAATAATTTCAAGTTTTAGTGACACTAAAAAAATATGTAAACCAAAGAACCCCAAACTTTAAACAAGCAGTGTCATGACAGTGGAATATCTGGCATTCATAAATACCTGAAACAGTTTACCCATCCTTATTGGTCAAGAGCCTGTCACATGGCTGGTATATGCTGATAACACCCCGCTGCATTCTGCGTCACATTGCGTACTGCGCCAATATCCATATAAGTAGATATTTAGCACTACGCCCGGCGCAGGCACATACCATAGACGTGGCGAGAGGGGTGTTTCACAAAACATGAAGTAAAATTGTTGAACAAAATCGTTGAAACTTGTGAATTTTTTTTACTTGTTTTGACAAACTGGCCAAGCACACTGATATTTATTCCCTTATTGAAAATCACATCCAGATCTCAGACTCACAAGAACCAAGTCAAATTTAATTTATGATATCCTTTGTTGAAATCATACCTCCAGATTATTGTTAAAGAATAGTTCTTTCAGTCAGTCTTTTATTAAAAAAAATCTTAATATGCATAGTTACCATTGAACTCAAATATTAGACTTGCTCAGTCTTCCCACCATTTTATATTGCTAACCATCTTTGAATACCATTAACTTTAATACCACTGTACAAAAATAATTTAACACTGTTCATATTTTTTAGGATATTTGAAACTATGCAGGATTATTTATCATTAATAACATGTAGGTTTATTTATTTACATTAGGTACATGTATACATTTGGTAGTTTGGCTATAGTTTGTACATTTTAGAAAAACTATTTTTTGGTTTAGTTTCATAGCGGATTATTTATCCTGTAGAAAACTATAATTTGGAGGTATTTAGTTGTAGGTGAGCATCAGATTTCAGAAAAGAAAAAAAATATCTTTGCCTTCGCTGGACGACAGCCTGTTTCACAATGAGTGAAAAAAATTTTATAGAGTTAAAATACTGTGTTTTGTGTTTCAGGTTAAAATGTTTTTTTTAATCAACTGGCCTTTATACTATTCTGCTGGATTGTAAGAAACATTCACAATCTTCCCAAAAGGGTACTTTAATATTGTAATGTGAAATTGTTGGGTGAATGTGTGGAAAAGATTTCAACCAAAACTCAGATATTAACTGGGAAATAACACATAAGGTACTTAAAAGCTCTTGTACTTTAATTTCTGTCAAAATCCTCAAATTATGTGTTTGAGGTCATCTGAATATTGCTTCGCTCACGCCCATACAACTTTTTTTTTTCTAATATGGGTTTTACAAAAAGAACAGTACAATATATATGGGGAAAAAACGAACGGCGTTCCTTTAAACAAACTCCATGGGCTCATTGAAACAGTGTGTAACTGCCTGTTGAATTTTGGGGAAATGGTGCGCTCGTACGAGTGTAGATTTTAATTCCTGTAGCCATAGTGATTAATATTTTTAAGAACTTGTCTAGTTTTCATAATTTAAAAACAAAAAAAAATTGTATTATAAGTCACACTTGGACAGTAACAATAAAATATTGTTTTTGATATAAAACGATACGTTCTTGATTATTATTTGATGAATATAACGTCACCGGATGCTTGTTATGGAGTACCGAAAAGTGACATCGTTTAGAACCAGAAAGTGTAGTGCTAGCGAATGGAGTACGCGCGCCTGTTGGTTCACGGGCCGAATCACGCGCCAATGTCTTTAACACACATTTTGTGCACGTGACGTATTCACTTCGGTACTCCATAGTTACCACACTTTCCATGATCAATGTTTGTATTCCCAGAGCATTTCCTCAACAAGGAAAATTTGGTAAATTTGTGACGTGTTATGAAACACTCTGATTCCATACAAAACATTCATAAATACCTAAAGACAGTTTACCCTTTCCTATTATTGCGGACAGCCCGTCACATGAGTGGTTGATAAAAGACCAACTGGTTTTAAGGGGTTTTTTTTCCGGCACCGCTGCATTCTGCGCCACTAGCAGAATGTTGTGCTTATAAGAGTCATTAAAATAGACCTCAGTCTGTATTTTATCAACTTTTCCATGTGTCGTTAAAAAAATGGAAAGGTTGAACATGCAGGCCATCTGCAACTACTATGGGCCAGTTCTGGCCACAGTGGTCACTCCAGTTTGAAATAATAATTTGGGATAAGTGTGCCACATAGAAATGCAGGTACTCGATGTACATTATCTGGAATAGAAAGGCGAGCTTTATTTTGTCGAAGGCTTTCATCTGTCCTCGCGATTCTTCATGTAGCTCCGTCTGTGTGTGGAAAAAGTAGAAGACAAGACCCCAAAAAAACCTGTTAATAATACAACGTGACCAAATAAAGAAGATTCGTACATGAACATTTACTTTTGAGATGCACCAAAATCATACAAGCACCCACTCAGTTCGAAAAAACAAGATTTGTTTTGGGGAAGTATTGATTATGTGATCAAATCTGCCCTCAACATCGAAAGACACTGACGTTGGACACTTGAGCGTCATTCTCACTGCGCCCATGTTCAGGTGTGCCCCTCTGCATAGACATGTCAGGTTTGTAAAATTAGTCCTGCATAAAATGCCAGGTTTGGGGCTATTGCATAATTTAAAGGCACATTGGAAAATTTAAGTAAGATAAGACTGGTACCAAAAACTACTCGTAAGACGCGTCGGTGACAGGCAAAGCCCCAACAGTAACTGGTACCAAAAACCCTGTGAATTATCCACCTGAAATGGTATCATTTGCCAATGATCCTACTACCTTGAATTCAAGCGAATGAGTAAACGCACAAGATGTGTCCTATACAGTGCTATTAACCAGCGTTGTAGTTAAGACCTTTTCATAATAGTAAATCACAAGACAAGTCACAGTGGGTGAACAATTAAACAAAGGAATGCCTTGGTCACAGTTGATTGGAATATAGCTTGTGAGTTGAGTTGGGACTGGAGGACTGGAGATGGACTCGACAACAGACAGCTATTAACTTGTCTTGCACAGAGTTGATAGGCAGCCATGTACCTTCAAAGTTACCACACGTAACCAAACAATAGTTGTAGAAGAGATTCTTAAGTTTGAGAGTTTTCTTACAAGAGATCGTTGGCAGCTTGGAGGTCAGCGATTTTCTTCTCCGTCACTTCCATCCACTCCCGGTACTTCTCCCCCCACTGGAGTTTCATCTGCACACAAAATAGAAAGATCCACAATAGAAGTTCCTACAGACGTTTTAAAATGAAATGTTATGACTTTTTCCAGGGAAAAAAATAAGGGTTTTCCATAACCAATCCTTAATGCCGATTTGGCATGTTAGGGGCCTATTTACAATGCACTGGCCAATCATCACGCTGAGGCAAGGTCTGAGACAGGACCACTGATCAATTTCTTTGTTCAACTTTTAAAATAATAAATTTCAATTTGCATGTTTTGTTTTACGGAAAAAAAGCTTTTTCTTTCTATTTAGGACGTTTTGACTTTTCCACCCTCTGCAAAAAAATTCACATATATCTTGGCTTGCTTTTGTGCCCATCACACACAAATAGATATGTCTGAATTATTGTCAGGCCGCAAATAATACTAATATGTAAAGTAAGGTAACTTTTATTTGAGTTTGAAAAACCGAGCTTTGTACCTTCAGGTTGAGCTGTTCCTCTTTTTCACACCACTGCGCTTCCTTGATGCTCAGCTCCGCAAACAGTTCCTCAAACTTCTCTCTCATCGCGCTGTTTTCTGTCTTCAGTTCCTCGTTGAACAGCTTGAGTTCCTCATTCTCAGACTGCAGGTCTTTGTTTTTCCGCTTCAAGGCGGCAATTTCTTCCTCATGATTGCAGGGGGTCGGCGATGAAGGGGCCTGAAAAAGAAAGTGGAAAGTACATTTCTCACGACCAGTGGCGGTGTCTGACTAAAAAAAAAGGGGGGGGGGCAATTTGGGGGCAAGGAAATATTATTTTTGGGGGGCAGTCAAAATAAAATCTTAAGCCTGTGTACACCAAACGTGCCCACTGTCAATGGTCTGGAGCAACTTAGAAACTTGGTCGTTTTTATGAATGAGAAATGTATCAAACTGCAGAATGGTGTATAACAAATGTATAACAAATGTACAAAGACGTTGGCTGCACACTATCTACGGCTGTGTAACTGCATGTGTGGCGTGTTTTTTTTTGTCTACCAAAGAACCAACGTTTGTAATACTTTCATTGGCCCAAACTGTGTCCACATTTTAAGAATCTTACAAGGGAAGAAAAGAAATACAATTAATCTAATTGTTGATTAAGTGTTGGGAGAAAACTGGGGGGCAAACTAGGGACAAGGGAAAAACTTGGGGCGGGCAAATCCCCCCCCCCCTCCCCATTCCCCCTGGACTCTTTTGTTGATACTTTTTACCAGATTTTGAACATCCCTACATAGCTACAATTTTACTAGGAAGAAAACTAAAAAGGCAAAATATATTGTCCATGTATGATTTAATTTTTTTTAAAGGAGGCGGGAAAAAGGAAACGGGCCGGGATGATAAATTGGTTAATATTTTTACCTATAAATTTTACTTTTAAATTTTCACTTTATGGAAAACAATCGGAGTGACATACCTTTTTCAGTTTCTGCAAAGAGTCCCGGTGACTTCGCTTGAGATCCTCCATTTCCTTGGTGTGCTGCAGGTTGAGGTCATCCATCCTTCGCTGGAGGTCACTGACCTTGAGGTCATCGCCTGACCTGGCAATAAAAAAACCCAAAATATCTGTTAAATTCTATACTTTTTAGCTGCGGCTGAGCAGCTCAACAAGTCATCAGGACTCTCCGTTAGTTAGTCAAGTTCCTTGGTTACATGTAGTTAGAAAAAAACATCAGCAACAGCCTTGCATGGCTATAAATCACCTCATCCCTCAGGCCCGGGTATATCACTTTAATGGGGATCCACCATAGAGCTATATTAAATTACTAGAGCGCTGACTCATGTACAAAGTGATGCCTGCTGGGCGCATCCAAGTTTGTGCACAAACCTATGGAAAACTGGAAATTTTGTACAGCTTTAATTTGTGCAGCTACATTTGTATTTGCATATATCCGCGTTTGTATTCTATACAGGTGCGTTATTGAAGCCCATATGCCGAAAACAGAAACGCACGATCAGCAAATGAGCGTTTCATTTTGCTCTGTGCAAACAGTGCAAACCTGTGCACATATCCGCTGCACGGATGATTTTTGCCGTGACATTTTTTAACCGTAATGTTAGCCACTATGTTTTCATAAAGGTTCAGGGTTTTTGTTCACGCTAAAAAGGCAATTGGCTTACCCCTCGAACCTAAGAACCTTTAACCCCATTAGGGTTAAAGGCTATCGCAGGTGTTGGTGCAATGCAGCCTAGCAGTAGGCCTAATTTATAAATTAAAAATGTATTGCTTTTGTTTTTGTTTTTACTTGTGTTCTATGGTGGACGTTGTGACATATTCTTTCTGTTTCTTGTGGACAGTTGTGTTCTTTGCTTTTCTCAAGTCATCCAGTCGTTTCTTCAGCGATGTTACTTCTGCCTCCAGCTGTTAAATTCAGAGTAAAGAAACTAGGCTAATTTTTCTGTTTAAAGACACATATAGTCCTGAACATTGGTAAATACACGGAAACGGACCTACCGCTTTAATGAGAAATATTTTGTCAAAGTGAGCACAGGGATGGTACCAAATACCTATGCTGGGCAATTATTTCGCCTGAAATGGTATCATTAGGAGGCAATCAATCATTAAAGGCGGTTTAAAAAAGTGTGCCCACTGGCACACTTTTACATGTGCTTTTTTTTTTAGCAATGCCACTAAGTTACGAGACCCAAAAAGGTGTGCGAATTTATGTTTTTCTGTTCTCTCAATATGTACAGTTGCCATGTAGTTGATGTACCGAGCTAGTAAAACTTCCACAGGTTAAAAGTTTAATGTAAAATATCAACCCAGCTAATTCAGAATTATTTTGAGCAATTTTGTTATTGAAAATGAAAACGATGCACAAAAAGCAATCATAGGCCATCCCTCTAGTGTTTGTAGGGCACTTCAGAAACTATAACATAAGCCCCAAGGCCTAGTAAAAATTAAATGTTTTTGTAGGCATTATTCATTTTAGTCATTGAGAACCGGAAAATAGGCCTACAAAGTACAATACGTAACGTCAAAACGAATAATTTTTGTCACTGTCATAATTAGAAAATGTTTAGGCCTACCTCTTCAACTCGATTTTTGAGAAAATGGGTATTGCTTTTAGCCTCTGCAGCTTTGGAACTTGTGCTGGTTCTTACAGGTCGCGACATTTTAAGTTAATAAAGAACACACGTTCGTTTATTACCAAATAAATTGCATGTCAATGCATGTGCAACTGCAACTTCCTGGTTACGTGTAGACGGTGTACACGATTTTATGCAAAGAGCACCTCTGACCTCCTCGGTGGACTAGTCTTTAATCTAGACATTGAGCGTAATTATACAAACTGTAAACAATGCCCTCTTACGTGTGTAGGCCAACTCAAACATAACATCCGCGCCTTCATAAAAGGCTATATAAACATGAATAATTTATGAGTGGTGGCGTCACTCTCGTGAGAAAATACGAGAACGCACGTGAAGTCGCTATTTAAATTTCAAAATGGAGGTGTTTACAAACAGTGCTGCGGAGCGTCAGCGATCAAAATTGCTCTGATTCTTTCCATTGTTGAGCAAGAACTTGTTTCGTTTTGCGAAAGACATGATCTTTTGGAGTCGGGGTTCATTGAATGAGGTAAAATGGCTTTGAGAATTGTTAAATAAATCTATAAAACGAATATTTTGGTGAAAATGTGAGTGGTGAGAAAAACTCGACCGAGCTGGCAGAACTCAGACGGTTGGTGGCAGCAAACACCTAGACCATTCGGTCGTTTATCGGATTCTGCCCACAGCCCTCTCACCTTTTCCTAGCCCCATAAATGTGGCCAATTCACTGGACTACCTGACTACCTCCGTAAATAACGGCCACACTTGGGAAATGTCGAAACGCGGGAGGACTTATTTTATTTTTAATATCATGAATATGATTATGAATGTTTATTTGAATTTGAATTATTACAAAATTGATGTTCACATTTCGGACTGCGCATAGAAAATTTCAAAATAGACTTAGGCCTAGTTCATTGCTTTCAATAACACACTCACCCTGTTATGGCAAATGCGAAGTGGTCCGGGATTTTTCAGCCGTTCAGCTTTCGTGTCATTTTCAGTTCATTTTGGAGGCTCGTTGGCATCCGTTTGTAACTCAATTCCAACCATGTTTCAACTGAACAATATGCTCTTGTGCAATGCATGATAGATACGTGGATCATCAGCTGTCAGTCGCTTGGCGAGCGGCAGGCTTGGTGAATCCTTGATGTATAGTGCACCCTCATGAGTCATGTGTGTCTTGTCTTGTTGTAATACTAGTACTGCCCAACACCCGTAAATATAGGGGCCAACCGGGCAGGGTTCGCTGCGCTTGATGAAAATGCGGAGAGAGTGAAGAGTTTTATGTTTTGCTGGCTTAGATAGTTGTGTACTGCTTCCTTGAAGTTCTTGTTGTCTTGGATTGTAGTAACATCGGCCAGCAAGCTGTACGATGTACATATGCATGCACTCGATTCCGTTCGCCCGCGGTATATTGTATCTCGCAACAGGATTGATTTGCATAACACAACGTCACAGCTTTGATCTTTGAAGAAGCCAGGAGGTACATGTAACTTATACATTGCAGTTAAGTATCTTGCCCAAGGGCACAAACATCGTGTTCCATCGTGCATGTACATTAGTCAAACATCGTAAGCACTGGATCATTATGCATAACTCTCACTGGGGCACCAGATACGACCAATCCAAACCAAAATTTCAGAAAATGAGTTCTGGTGCTCAAGGCTTTTGCACCAACTGACCAAGTAACGTTTATTAGGCCTGAAATTTGAATCACTGGTCTGAATGAATCAGTATGGCAGTGAGTAAAGGGGCATTGTTCACAGTGTAAGCCACTGTCTTCAAGCAAATATGATTGAGATTTTAAAATCCTTTTTTTTTTTCATCTCCTTCAAGCGATAAAGTTGACCTGAGCTTTGTGGCGAGCTTTGACCCAATATCAAGATGATGGGAGATCAGCTGATCTTGGAGGAAGACTACGATGAGAATTACCTGGCAACGGAGGAAGGTGAGTTGGGGTGTGCTCTTACATTACATCAAGATACGTATTTGTCAAACCAGGAACCCATTTCCATTTATGCGCAGCACCTTTACTGTGGAACAGTAACATGCCTTGCATTAGGGTGTGTTCCACAGTAATATTGAGCAAACCCAACCGAAACCGACCCGACCTGACCTGAAACCAACTTCAGGTCAGGTCAGTTTCCCATCATTTCAGTCGGGTTGGTTCGTTTCGGTTTTGCGTTTACGATTATCGGGTTGGGTCGGGTAAGCCATCTTGTGAAAAACCAGAAATAACCCAAATGATGATCAGTTGGGAAATTCACGCCGTGCAATATTATCGCACAGTTACTGTGCCCGGTACGACCAACGTCAACCCACAGCGCGTATGTGCATGTGTTTTACGGTCTTCACACAGTCTATAACATGTATGAAGTGTAGGCCAACCACGTGACATAGGTGAGTTCAGGCACAAAAAGCGTACACAGTTGCCCAAGCCAGATATTCAGGGTTTTCGATGGGTTCGGTTTTGGGTCGATTCGGGTCAGTTTTACTTGAATTTTTGTCGAGTAGGGTCAGGTCGATTGTGTTAACTTCTTGGACAAGTACACAAATTCAGTCAGTTTTGTAACTCTTTTTCTTGTTCAGAAATCGTTGAGTATGCTCAGGTCATCGGCATCGATGTTGACAAGGAGAAGGATTTGATGTGGATCGCTAGAGAGGGCATCAGTGCACCGTTGCCCAACGACTGGAAACCATGGTAATGCCAAATAAAAAAATAACATGTTAAGCGTCCTGTCTTTTTGAAAAAAAGGAAGCGGGAGGCCCTTTCTTCTTGTTTTTTCCTTCAAAATGGCCACCCCACTGGGCTATTTTTCAATATTGCCTCCAGTTTTTTTTAATGGCTTCCATTGGACTCAGAAAATGACATACCAGCTTTATATCGACTAGATGCCACAGACAAAGAGGGATTTTTTCTTATTTTTTTTCTTTAAAGGAGGCGGCCTCCAAAAAGGAAGTGGACAGGACTCTAAACGTATTTTAGAATTTTACTTTGCCTAATGGCCACGTTATAAAACTCAGTAAAATAATTGTATTTTTGACTTGTTCCCAATGCACTTGGTCAAGCTTGAAACATACATGTAGGAATCGTTTCAGAATGGAAACATTAATTTTACCGATTCTTTCGCCAAATTATAATAAAAATTGTGTCCACAATGTCTATAGTATTTCCAGTGTCTTTAGCCTCCAGTATTCCTAAGTATTCATTGGATGTTGAACAATGCCAAAGCCAAATCAATTACTTTGATATTTGGAAAAGTCAGTGTTTCTGGCTTTGTTTTTCTTTCTTCTTTTTCTTCTAGTTATTAAGAAATTGTAAAAGTGATTTTTTGCTAAGATCACGTCACAACTTTGCTCATAAATGGAAACAGCCTAGAAAAAAGCCATTTACTATGTTTTTAATCAGTCTCAAATCTCTAGTTTTATCCCATTTTTGTTTTCTTCTTCTGTTTTTATAGCCAAGACACCACCGGAGGCGACATCTATTACTTCAACTTCACCTCGGGGGACAGCACCTGGGACCATCCTTGCGATGAGTTCTACCGCAAGATGGTGAACGAGGAGCGAGAGAAGAAGAAACTGGGAGGGGGCGGGGCCGGGAGCGGAGGAGGAGGTGGAGGCGGCGGGAAGAAGGAGAAGAAGAAGAAAGACAAGACGGAGAAGAAAGGAAAGGAAAAGAAAGACGCGGGCAAGAAACTTGGTGGGGTAGGTGCTCAGATTTTGTGAATTAAAGTCAGTTGTTTATCGTTGTATTTTTCTTAAGTCATGGGGCATTTTTACTACTTGTTTCGCAGCCATTCTGGAAATCAGGGAAAACTTGAATAGGATTTTCCCTTTTTTCCTGTAAGGAAAAACTTAGAGAATTTGGAAAACACAAGAAAATCATGGAAACCTCCGCGAATTTGACTGTGACCCAGAAGGGAAAGGTTTTCGCCAGTTTGTCGTTTGTGCGTCTTGTGCCATGTGTCCAAGTTGTGTCCAAGTTGTGTTCATTGACTGACTGGCTATGGTGGCTTTTTAGTGTTTATGCAGTGTGAATATTACACACCTCTACCGACAATAATAATTAGCTGTGCTGCACCACCTCTTGACTTACCAGCAACCTCGTTAAACTGAAAATATTTCTCATGGAAATTTGGAGATTTCTCAGATAAATATTCAGGGAAAACTCTGGGAATTTTGTTTTGAAAAAGTGCTCGGAAACCTGATGCTAAACACCATCCTGAATCCTAAATCCCCCACTGTGCAGAAACTCAGTGGGAAAACTTTTATAATTGAATTTTCATGGATATCAGTATTAAAACTAAATTGCAATCATTGTATTATTTCTATTTTTAAATTTTTGTTTGATTTATTTCCAGTCTCTTGGGCCCTTGAAGGGTGAATCTACACTGGGGTCCACCCTGGGCGGTACGGGCACGCTGGGCAGCACAAAGGGCACCGGTCAACTTAATCCCTTGGGGTCACTCAAGGGCGCGGGGTCAACGCTTGGGTCAACGTTAGGGGTGAGTACTTTCTGGAATATGATGAGCTCCGATTTTTAAAATTCATTTTATTGAAATTGCAGCGCTTGGGCCTTGTGGTCCTGGAGCTTGTGATGTACTCAGAAGACGTGACCAATTTGCATTTCTGCCTCCCGAATGAGCAGCTCTATTAACCCTAACCACTTTGAATCCTTCAAAATCCTCTTTGCCAAAGTGGAGGATTGAGGTTACATTGGAAAAGTGCGTTACTGATTTCGTAGGATTCGCTTTTCAAGGTTTTTGGCCGTAAATTGTGTCATTTTTGCTCAGCCGTGTATAAATATGGGGTGTCCAGGATTGGTAAAATTGTAAAAAAAAAATTCCATTTATATACCTTGATTGAAAGTGTCGACAAAGATCACTTCATTGTAGTTTTTAATATAGGCCTGGATTATGCTTGAAATCCTCCGTACTGCTCCAGGATGTCGCGGGTGAAGCCTCAACGTATTGACAGCCTCTGCTGCAGAATTCAGGCAGCAGTCACCCCTCCATGGACCATATTCAAGAAATAAATGGAGGAATTTGCAGGATTGAGGCTATATGCCATTTTTCCATGAGGCAAAAACGCCCCTATATTTCACGCCAAAAAAGTTGGGGGGTTTTTGGTGAAAACACTTTTTATTTTTATTTTCCATTTTTATTCCTTGAAAGTACTGTGGCGAATCCCGTCCGGGTCAAGTTTGACTCGGTACTGCACAGGCGAGCGGCAGCCCTACAGCACTGTGGGGGAGGTCGTTTGGCAACCATATATCGCCGCGCGCAACACTTTTTCCCGGGGACCCTATGGAGCGGAGATAAATACCAGGCAGAGCAGCGCAGGAACCCAATAATCTGACAAAGAGAGAGATCACTCAAGAGCCGCGGGGTTTTCCCTTTATTATAACTAAGACGCCTTATCACTTCAGTTAAGTTGCAGATTCCTTAAGGGATTGCTGTTCCTTAAGGTATAGCCTTGAGGTTCCTTAAGGGTTTCCTGTATCCTTAAGGGATATAATCGAGTTTCCTACTGAGCCTTAGAATTACTGATAGAGAGGTTTATTACTGAAGGCACTTAATAGAAATTATTACTGAATGTGATAACTTGTGGGGAGGTTCAACAATATCGGTCCTGAACTGTGCTCGTCACTAACTTTATCAAATACGTCAGCTTGACATACCCCGCGCTATGAGCTGCTGCAACTAGATTCGGCAAACCGCCGCCGCCACGGACTCTCTGACACGGCTCCAACAGTCCCGCTGTCTCGGACACTCCGATCAGCCTCTCTCACGCTGCTCTGGGATCCGGCGGTCGGTCGCTATACCGCCCCGCCTCGCTGCTACCAGCTCCCACTACACACCAACAGCAACACTGACGCACACAAGCCTAGCGCCCTACAACAACTCTCTTAGAGCTCCGCCGTCACACGTCTCTTCAGTCCGCTAGCTCCACAGCAACTCCCGCCACGTACACACACGAGGCACAGCGCGCGCAAACAGCTCAAAGGTCACCTAAGCAGCCCACTGCGCATGCTCAGCAAGTATGGCACGCCTCAGCGCTATGACGCGCGAAAGCTACAAGCACTCAGGCCAATTTCGTTACAGTACCGTCAAAGATCTCTCCATATCCAAAGTAGTTTTAAGTATAGGCCTGGATTATGCTTGAAATCCTCCGTACTGCTCCAGGATGTCACTGGCCAAGCCTCAACATACTGACAGTCCCTGCCACAGGACTTTGCAGGATTCAGGCAGTGGTCACTCAATAAGTATAACTCTTTAGTTGATAGTTCGTGTAGTGTTTATTAGTCATCAACCAATGACAACAGCGGCTGCAAAGTAAAGGAAAAGATTACATTATGAATCATAGTTCTATATGCCCCCCAAGTCTTTGGGAATAACAAAGGCTAACAATTCTAGGAAGGAAAGATTCCAAATGTAACAGACATAACTAAGTAACCTAAAGAAATGCACAGATTGCAAAGGTGTGAACATGAACAATAAGCAAAGATCGAAACAAGAATAAGCATAGGTTATAGGAAGTAAACTGTAGCTGTAACTTTGGCTATATAAAAAAAAAGAAGAAGAAAAAAAAAAGTCCAGAGTATATGGGTGTCCTATAGTTCATCCCTAAGCCTGGCCGGCGGTCGTGACAAGCGAGTGGATCGGCGAGGGGCAGTCAAGGAGCGGTCCAGGGGTGGCAGATCCACGGTCGGGGCCAGGTGTTCCTTCAGACCAGGAGTATTGTGTGGCAGGAGGCCGCGGAGTGCACGGGGAACGGAGCCTGGGTGGGACTGGCTATTAGGTGGACGCGTGGTGGCCACGGTGGGTGTCACAGGTGAGGTGGGAGTCGGTTCCAAGCCATCCGGGGTTGGAAGATGGTTGGTGCGGGTTGGCTGGGAGACGGCTGGAAGCATCGCAGGTGGTGTGGCTGAGGCGTCCTGTGGTAACCGGTTGTTGGCCTGCACCAGAGGGGTTGCTTTCGGGTGCTGGCTAGCTGCATGCGACCCCGGCAGCAAAGGTGTTGGGCCGGGTGCCATTAGGAGGGGCGCACGTGGAACGACAGGCAAGTACTTCCGCAAGAATCGCCTGTTGCGTAGGGTGACTCGACCAGATCCATCAACCCTCACGACATACTGGTCGAATTGCCTCACCTCCACCACAACCCCGGTCTTGTCCCACTTGGTCGGGTGCGGTCCGGTCTGGTTTTGGATACGCACGCAGTCGCTGACAATCAGTGGCGTGAGGGGACGGGTGTGCTCTGAGAGACGCTCTGCAGCGCGCATGTGCCGGTTGCGCAGTGCCTCCTCGCGGGATGTGAGTGTCTCCCGCCATGTGCTGTGTGGGTTGTACTTCCCAGGGTGGATGGGTATGAAGTCACGGATGGGACGCCCGAAGACGCACATAGCAGGGGAGAGGTGTGTGTCATGGTCGGGCGTGTTGCGGTACTGGAGCATGGCACGCTGAAATTCATCAGTGTTAAGTGTGCCTTCAGCGTCAGTATTGTCAGTGATGAGGCGCTTCACAGTCTTGACGCCCACTTCAGCACGGCAGTTGCTGTGGGGGAAGGCGACGGATGAGATGCGGTGACACACGCCCCAGTTGCGGAGGAAAGCGCGGGTGGACCCTGCGGTGAACTCTGGGCCACCGTCTGAGGACAGTTCATCGCTGATTCCATAGGTCACGAAGGTGCGGCGCAATGCAGTAATGAGTCCATTGGCGCCGTTGGCTGCCTGTTCGACGATTGGCCAGTTGCTGTACCTATCCACCACCACCAGGTAGTGACAGCCGCGGTAGGTGAAGTAGTCAGCGGCAATGCATTGGAATGGATAATCGGGCTGGACGGGAGGCGTTGGCGGTGCGCCTGGCTGTGATGGCGCCATACGGTTGCAGGGAGAGCAGCGTGCCCGTGTATCGGTGATGGCGGGGGTCATACCTGGCCAGAAGAATGAGGACTGAGCTCGTGCGCACATCATGGTGATGCTCTGGTGGGCCGAGTGTAGTGCTTCAAGGACCCGGGCACGGAGGGACGAGGGAATGATGACACGGTCATTGTAAAGGCATACGCCATCAAACTCTGACAGATTCTCACGGAATTGGTGGTATGGCCGGAGCTCACGGGGGAGGTCACCAGGTAGAGTGGGGAAGCCCCCTTGTATCATCTCAATCAGTCTGCACATGTTTGGATCACTGGATGTGGCGAGGCGGACATCATTCCATGTGACTGATTTGATCATCTTAGCAGCTGTGGTGGCAGACTGACTGCATACTTCGACAGGGTCTGGGCCACTGGTGCGGACAGCAGTGAGGAAGTCATGTGGCAGCACAGTGGTCGTTGGTTCGCTTGAGTCATAGTGCACAGGTGCGACATCATCAGGGAGCTGTAGCGGTGCGCCTTTACCCACGGGGTGGCGGGATACCCCATCAGCTGCAGCGTGGCGTGCACCAGGTATGTGGACGATGCGGAAGTGGTAGCGCAAGGACTTCTCCTTGAGGTTGCGGAGGCGAGGGTTTGGGATGTCCTCAAGTGAGCGGTCACCGAACACCTTCAGGAGGGGCTTGTGATCCACCGCCACTATGAGGTCAGAGCAGCCAAGGACAAAGTGGCGGGCCTTGTCAAGTGCATCAATGACAGCAAGGGCCTCCCCCTCCACTGGGGCGTAGCGGGACTCGGCACCTGAAGTGAAGCGGCTCCCAACCAGAGTCACCCTCCAACCAGTCTTGCAGCAGAAGGGTTTTGAGGAGGGGCAGTCGCAGTGCTTCTGGAGCAGCCAAAATCCCAGACCATCTTTGCTCCAGTCAGTTGCAAGGCAGGTCGGCTTGGTCTTGTCGAATATCTCCACCCCTTTGTGGATTTCGCTGACGATGAGGGCCTTTGATTCTTCGAATAGGCAGTCCAGCTCATCGGTCCACGAGAAGGGGGTACCAGGTTTGAGGAGTTTGCGGAAGGGCAGCATGCGGTCAGTCATGGCGAAGGCATAGGAGACCTGGTTGATAAGCCCGAACCAGCTGCGCACGTCTGTGATATTACGGGGCGTTGGGAAATTCTGGATCGCCTCAAGGTACTCAGGGCAGGGGCGTACAGAGGTCGGGGTGATCTCAAAGCCAGCAAACTTGACAGTCATCTTGGCGAAGGCGAACTTTTTGGGGTTCAAGGTGACGCCATGTCTGCCACAAGTGTCGAGCCACTCAACTGCCTGGAAGAAGGCCTCCTCGATGGAGTCAGACCATACCAGGGTATCATCCACGCACTTGGTCTTTTTCGGGATGTCAGACACAATCTCATCAAAGCGGCGGCTGTAGCCATCACCGGAGGCGATGTACCCCTGTGGGGCGACACAGTATCGGTAGCGGCCCCAAGGTGTGATGAATGTGGTGAGGTGGCGGTCCTCCTCAGCTAGGGCAATGCTGTGATAGCCGTTCCATGCATCGAATACAGTCTTGCGAGTCTGGGGAGGGACTGCACGTGCTTGGTGGAATGGTGATTGTGTGTGGTGGGTCTCACGAACAGCGTGACGATTGAGTGACTGGAGGTCAACCGTCCGTCTGGGCTGGCCTGACTTCTTGGGGCAGATCACCATCTTGTGGCACCATGTGACAGGTGTACCGACTGGGACTGGCTCGATGACGCCGAGGCGGACGTCGCGGTCAAGGCCTGCCTTTACATTGTCCTGCCAGTGGACAGGGACAGGGATAGGTGTGTGACAGGCGACAGGCCGAGCGTCAGGGTCCACCATGAGTCGCAGTGGGGGGCCAGCCATCATGGGGAGTAGTTGGTGCTCACATACATTGAAGGTGCTCGACTTGTAGTATTCCAGCAGCCATGTCTCAAGCTTCTCCCGGTTCTCCTCAGTGGCTGGGAATGGGAGGTCTGCTGGGGGAGACGGTGGCATCTGGCGTCGTGGGCACTCGCATGTTGGCCTGAGGCAGGCTGCTGGTGTGGGCGTCGGGGAGGTGGCAGAGGATGCGACGCTGGCACTGTCGGGCCTGATTGCCTCGCCAATGGTGGGGAACCTGGTAGAGATCATGCCCAGGGCGACGCAGGCTTGCTTAGACAAGAACAGCCGGTCGGATGAGTCGGTGAAGTACACTATCTGCCGGGTCTCGAGTTTCTCTCCAGATTGGGAGGTGCCAGAGATGCGGAGGACCAGGGCACCTGCTATGTCGATGCGGCAGTTGTTGGCAGCATTCATTTTCATTGTGACAGGGATGAGGTGTTTCCTTTCAAGCCCCAGTTTGGATAGGAGTTTCGTGCCAGCCAGGCAGGACTGGCAGCCAGTGTCAGCCATAGCAGGGTAGATGGCTGAGGAGGTGGTGCTGAGCAGGGGGGTAGGGAGGCCGAGGTCACGAGCATCCTCAGGAGTTGCTTTGAGAGAGACGTCCACCATGGGTTGGGGGTCAGATCCTCGCCTCTCCCATGCGTCGCAGAACTGATTGTAGATGTGGTGCTCTAGAGTGATTGCATTCGCGTCCATGGGTGGGGCGTCGTCGACAGAGCACAGGGTTTCGAAGACTGCGGTGGCATTGTGAGGTGACTCCTGTGCCTTGGGCGTGGCTGGCTGCTGTCTCCGCTGGGATTGGCGGCACACACTCTCGTGGTGGTGGAGTATGCCACACTTCGCGCATGTGTGATTGTACGCGGGGCACTTCCTCACGCGCTCCTGTTTGTTACGTTCATGGCCCGCCTTGCCACAGTAGTCACACACCTGAGGTTTAATGTCGCGGGGCTGTAGCTTGGATCTCTCCCTTCGTTTGTAGGAGCTGGCAGCTGCAGCAGTCGTAGTGGCAGTGGCACCACCCTCGAGGAGGCGGCCGGCAGAGCGTTTGCCACTCTCTTTCGCTTCGACAAATTGAAGCACTTGGTCCAAATGCATGTCCTGTTTGGATTGTCCGAGGACATCCAGGCGGATCTCCTCATCCTCTAGTCCACGGATGAGGGTGTCCCTGACCATGATGTCACTGAAGTCAACGACTAGAGAGCACGTACAGTCCTTCTTGTAGTTACAGACGCTAGCCTGGCCACGAAGGCGGGCGGCAAAGGCCCTCACTGGTTCGTCGCGGTCCTGTCGCATTTGCTGGAGCTGCACACGAGCCACCATGATGTTCTCTCGGCGAACTGCCAAGCTCTTGATGTTTTTGAGGATGGTCGGTTCATCCTGCGACGTCAGGGCACCGAATGTTCTGGTCAGGTCTTTCCTGAGTCGGTCGTCGCAGCACTCAAGCAGTTGGTAGACTATATCGGTTCCTGTGAGATGCGTGGCTTCTTTGTATTCGGACCATCGTAGCTCGAAGTAGGACCATTCTTCACTCGTGCCGGCAGCCATGACCGTAGGTCGCCTGACCTTCTCCACTTTGGCGGCGCATGAGGCGGGAGTAGGTGCAGGGGCAGGAACGGTTGGGTGGGCGGTGCGGGCGTGTAGGTTGATCAAGGCGAGCAGCACCTCTGGGGGTGTGTTGCTAGGCCAGGATGCCTCACAGTCAGGAGCCGAGCAGTTGACGTGAGCCATTGGGAGGGGTAGAGCGTGTCAGAGAGTCTAGATTGTCGCTGTTGTCATCAATAAGTATAACTCTTTAGTTGATAGTTCGTGTAGTGTTTATTAGTCATCAACCAATGACAACAGCGGCTGCAAAGTAAAGGAAAAGATTACATTATGAATCATAGTTCTATAGTCACCCCTCCACGGACCATATTCAAGAAATAATGGAGGAATTTGCAGGATTGAGGCTATATGCTATTTTTTCATGAGGCCAATTGGAGGATTTTGCAGGATTGAGGCTTCATCGTAGCAAAAAGGCCTAGGGAGTTAGGGTTAACGATCAATGACATGTTCACCATTGTATTTGTTTCACTTGTATTTGTAGAAGTCTGGTGTCAGTCTCGGAGGAACGTCGGACTCCTCCCGTTTCTTGAAGGGCAGCGCCGCCAACCCTAAGAAGAACACAGCCATGTCACTCAAGGGAGCCAGGGAGGAGAACATCCAGATGATGCCAGACTTCTCAGATGAGGTACCGTCAAACAAACACATTGTATTACATTTTACAATAATAATAAAAAATAATGTGGTGCTTATGGGCCTTATTCACGAGTAAGCTATTTTTGTGGAGTTCCCTGAATGTATTTCATTAATTGTTAACTGTTGAATGGGATGGCGCCAGACTATTTATGCAGGCATAATTATGCAGCCTTATTTTACTGTCAATTTTTTTTTTAAATCTGGCTTTAAACATAAGGGAATGTTTATTTACAAATTGTAAATTATTCATTGAAGCAGACTTGATTAATTAGTAATTAACTTGCTTTCATTTCTCTTCGCAAGTTCAAATAATTGAGATTTTACCTCAATTTCAATTCAATATGGCCGACTCGTGCATAAGGCCCATATAGCGCTTTATGCCAAAGGTCTCAAAGCGCATCTGTGAATGGAGTGCAAACAATGGTCTGTGTGCCTATTCCACTCTTGAAACAAACAATGACAAAAGGGTGTGCAAAATTGTGACAAAAGAAATATCTTTTAAAATTAAATTCTGAACATTGCTTCTACAAATGTTATTTAAGCTTTTGTTCTATACCAAAACGTGTGCATAAGTCCAGTATCGAAAAGAATTTGTATTCGCTTGTTCGATCTTGCAATATGAATCCGGTACACGACCACGTGCAAGAACGCACTTACTGTCTAGTAGTACAGTAAACTCCAGCCAAGTCGACATCGTACAACTCGTCAAATCACTCAAGTTGGCCGTCTGACTCAAGTCCCAATTGTCTGTAATGCAATTCCATTGAATTTTTTATTTCTAAGTCGGCTTTTATAAGTCGCCATTTCGCTCAAGTCGTCGTGTTACTCGCGTTCCCCTTTCCATAAAAAGCAAAATCCTGTGTGTAAGTTGGCATTAAAAAAAATCATGCATTGGCATCGACTTTATGTACGGTTGGCAAGAAGTGTCGAGTGAAAAGTGGTTTGGCACGGCCCGTGATCGATGATTCGCTGCATGCACGCGGTGTCGCAAAAGGGTTTGCTACTGCATACATCGCAAATGCATCGTGCGTATATCAATACCAGTACCCCCTCTAGTCTGTACGCATGCGCTCTGCCCATTTAGGGGGTCATCTAATTGAATGATGCACTCAATGCCAGTGCTGCAGTACAGTCAATGTGTGGTTGTGTGCACGCATTTAATTCGTAACTAACTGTGCACGTTCAACTATTTTGTACACGTGGTCTTCACATCAATACCCCCCCCCCCTCAAACAAGAGCTATGCAAACCTCATTTTGGTGGTTGTGTGTCCATATGCAAACTCTTTCCTCATTTCGATATCTGTCTTTTCATCTCAGCCCAAGCTGATCTAATGGTTTTGTGTTTTGCCTTCCAGGATTCTGGTACGCCAAGGTTAAATCTAAATCTTGACCTTCAAGACATTGGTGGCTTGGAATATGACGTAAGACCTCTGATTTTACTTTCATTTGTATTGCCGTTCTTCTAAGGCGTTGCATGTTATATTTACAACTCGGGACAATGTCACAAAACCTTTCTTTTTTTTCAGTTGCCATTTAAAGCTGAAACTTCCACAAGAATATATGCATCCTTATTAAGATTTCGAGCAATTTTGTGGCTTCAACTGGAAAAAAAAACCTCAAAAAGCAAATGATCCTATGTACCTTTAAACTGTTCCTCAACATTTTTCACCAAACTACCATGGACACAGTATTTCCACAAGTAATCACAAGTCCAACACAAGTCATCACAAGTCATCATAATTCATCACAAGTCATCACAAGTCAATTTCAAGTCTTCATAAGTCATCACAAGTCAATCAAAAGTCATCGCAAGTCATCACAAGTCAATCACAAGTCATCACAAGTCATCACATGTCAATCACAAGTAATAACAAGCCAATCACAAGTCATCACAAGTAAGTCATCACAAGTCATGAAGTCATAGCAAGTAAATCACAAGTCAAACACAAGTCCATCACAAGTCATCCAAAGTCCATCACAAGTCATCACAAGTCATAACAAGTCACCACAAGTCACTCACAAGTCACTCACAAGTCATCACAAGTAAATCACAAGTCATAGCAAGTCAATCACAAGTCAAACACAAGTCCATCACAAGTCATCCCAAGTCCATCACAAGTCATCACAAGTCCATCACAAGTCATAACAAGTCACCACAAGTCACTCACAAGTCACTCACAAGTCATCACAAGTCAACCACAAGTCATCACTAATCAATCACTAGTCAATCCCCCAACCTTATCTTTGGAATTCTCTAAACATCAGTGTCGCTTTCTTGGTCTGTAGGAGGAGTCTGATTCCAGCGAGATCAAGCTCAAAGGAGTGGAAGTCTCTGACGACGATGATGATGATGAGGTACGTTATCAGAGGGGCGGGGTTTAGATGGTTATTGAGCAAGTGGACAAAATTACCTCTACCCGAAACATGAGTTTTATAATGTCAAAAGGTTGTATCTCACTTAAAATAACACGAATGCACACACAAAGTCAATGGGCGTCAAGGTACGACGTTGTTGCATGGAGCATATTTGCGCAAGATACGACTTTGATGCAGAATCCAGTTACGTCCTTGTTGCATTGACGCGACGATAATATCCCACGAGGGGCCACAGAATTTAGGCTCAAATGCGTTACTGTCCAGTTAATTGAGTTCGGAATTGAACAGTGTTCGATTTGAAACTTGTCCAGGTTGACTTTATGCTTGATCAGTTTGAAGAAAGTTCATCATAGCAAAAATATTGATGGCTTGTTGATATGTATACAGTGATATCGCTCCATTTTATTCTTGGATTTTGTTCGCAGGATTTTGGCATTGATACCAAGTTTTCTGATCGTTTGGGTCTGATGGACGCCGATGACCTCATGCCAGCGATTGCCGAAGAACCAGAGCCTATCAAATCAAGAGTGAGTCACATCTCACTTTCAGCTCCTTTTTCTTTTCTTGTGCGTGTGTGTGCGGGGGGTGTGGATGAAGGGGAGGTTTTGTTACACTCACAGCGTATTACATATATGCCTGTCGCATTACCTCAAACAGTAAAACGATGTTAAGATTTTAAAATATCAGGGACAACTCCAGGAGTTTTGTTTTCATAAAGTACTGGGAACCTTGTTGTTTACTTTCTCATGTTACATTTCTCACAGTTCTTGAAAAGCAACAAAAAGGAGGAAGTGAGCAAAAAAGACGACGCGAAGGAGGACCAATCAGTCGCGGCCAAGCAGCCAGAGAAGCGGCAACTGGGATCAGGGGCTTCACTGACTCCCACCGTCAAGGTCACGTCGGTGCTGGACACACCCACCCCAGCGGCAGCAGCAGCAGAGACAAAACCAGAGCCAGAGTCTATCAGAAGAGAGGCAGAGCCTGAGATTGATCTGAGGGCGTTAGCCGAGAAGCGGGAAAAGTTGGAGAAGGATGAAGAAGAGAAGATACAAAAAGAGGTTGAGGAAAACTTGGCCAAGAAGTGAGTTTTTTATTTCAAATGCAGTTAAAGCGAACTGCATCCTGGAATAGCCCAATTGGGCTACAAAACACGCTTTGAACCAAAATTAATGATGTCAATCGGAAAGAACATTTAAAAGTGAGATATGAACATCCACACAACTATCCTTTAAAAACTGGGCGTTTTTGTGTTATTTCTGTATTATGCGTGCGAGAACGGCTTTAAGGGTCCATTTTTGCGACCCCAAAAAGTCGAGCTGTTTGGGTGCTAGTTGTGATTTCATCCGGAAAGTGTTCACCTTTTGCGTACGTGTAAGAAACCACAGTTTGTTCATTGGTGATTGGTCACTGCGGTTCATGAGCGTGGTGCTAGACGTACGCTACACACAACGGGAATATCATTCATTGACTATATGAGAATGACAGGAAAAACGTATTCGTACTCCGTTCTGTCCGATGTAAACAACCAGGTATTTGTCGTTTTTTTCTCAGGAACGGTAAGACATTAGGTTGGTTTCCTTTCAACAAGATGTTTGAAATAGGAGAAGTAAACAGTCCGAAACATGAAATTTTGGGGGATTTCAGGACCTAGTGCCCCTGTAAGTAAAGTAGTAAAGTCTATCACAAGCCAATAGTTTCACCACTAATTTTTCCCTTTTTTCCTGTCCTTTTCACAGACGGGAAGAGCACCAGAAAGACCTGGCGGGGCAGGAGGCCAAGCTGCGGCAGGACCACGAGACCTCCCTGGCCCACATGAGGAAGAGACTGGAGAAGGAGCTGGAAGACGCCAAGCTGGAGCTGCTGGAAGACAAAGAGGACAGGATGAGGACGATGAAGGAGGAGATGGAACAGGCGGAGGAGGAGGAGGCCGAGAAAGTGCAGAAGGAGAGAGATAAGAACATCGGGTAAGTGGTGTCAATGACAGTACAATTGTATTGTATACAAATTGTTAGTGTTTATGAGTGCAATGGTAAGAATAGTTGCACGAGGAGACAGATAGATTGTTCCATTTCGCGAGGTGAAGCCGAGTGGAATGGAACATTCCATCTGGATCATTCCATCGTCAAAGAATTATTTCTTGAGGTGACAGATGGAATATTCCATTCCATCAGTCTTAATGGAGTCATGAAAAAGGATCTTACTATGATGGACAAAACATGTGAAATGCTTTATGACTGAGCAATTCCATGCAGAAGTGGACATTTCGTCATTCCGTTATGGACCTCATATATTATCTGTAATTCGTAAACAAAAAGAACTTTTCAAAAGATGAAAGTGGAAATAAAAGGTGCTACCTTTTATTTCCACTTTCATTATTTGAAAAAAAAAATTGTTAAATATTACGAATAATAATGAGGTCCGTAACTGAATGATGAAATTCCCAATTTTGCATGGAATTGCCCGACTTCCATTATGGCACAAATTGACCTTGGTGGGGATGAGAAAAAATCTTCCTTCTTGACTTGCAATCTTCGTGTTTTTTCTTTTCAAATCTTTAAGTGATCTGAGAAAGAAATTGAAAGAGGACACGGAAGAGGAAGAGGCCATGCTGATGGAGGGCAAGTCAGACGCCATGAGGAAACTCAGAGAGACCATACGGAAAGAACAAGAAGAGCAAGAAGACAAACTAAGGTGAGGGGTCAGTGTGTGGATGTGTAGAGGGCGTAATTCAAAATATGACTCCGCAACTTTTGAACTGAAATCGAGATCCAGAATATTTTGTTTTCTTGGAATATACAGCATTCATTGAGCCAAAACTTCCTCAGGTTAGTTGTTAAGCACCCGTCTTTAGATTTTGAGCACTTTTATTGCTTCAAATGAAACAAAATGCACAAACAACAAATGGTCCATTCTACTTATGTTTTGAAGGAAAGTTATTTTACATGTGATCACAAGGTACTTTATGCCACAAAACTATTGCATTTTTGATTTTACACACTATTAAAACGGACACAATCCCTAATCATTGACTCTTGCAAACTTCCAGTTGTTTTGTTTTTTTGCAAATGGTTTGGCAATATTGGGTGCATACAGTGCTTATATGGGGAAGTGCAAAGCCCAGCATAAACCATTAGTCCCTATAGCACCCCAAACTGCCCTGCCTGTTACTCCCTGTACAACCAATAACCACTGCAGCATTGCATGGTTTGAATGGAATCATCAGGGAATAAATAAAGTGTAATACAATATGATACAATGTAATACAAGTTGTAATAGGTTAACCTAATCGGGTTTATCCTTTGCTCCGCAGAGCCGACATGGACAAAGCCTTGAAGACGCTACGGGAGGAAGTCAGGGACCTGCAGGAGAATGAGACGGCCAAGCTGGAGGAGGAGAAGAAGAAGATGATGGATGCGATCAAGAAGGAGGTGACCGAGATGGAGGAGAGAGAACACAAGGAATTGCAGGACAAGAGTCAAAAGGTACCATGTCAAAATCCCATACATTTTAACCCAGATGTTGGCCCTCTGTCACAAAGTTTCACAATATAAATATTTCAACGTTTTGTTGCTTACTTTTGAATATTGTGCACATTATTATTTTTCTTTAACCCTCCTATGAAACCATGCATTGTCAGCCTGGTTATTACCTGGGTCAATATTGGTCAAAAGCCCAATTGGTTTGTAAACAGTATGCCAGGAGGTGAGGAAGAAAATGGTGACCTTTTAAAGACATAATTTGCGCATTTTGTTCGTTTAAAGCAACAAAAGTGTTCAAAATCTAATGAAGGATACTGAACAACTAACCTGATAAAGTTTCAGCTCAGCTTCAGCTGTATATTCCGAGAAAAACAGCATTCTAGGATCTCAATTTCAAATCAAAAGTTGCTAAATCATGTTTTGAATTGTTTTCAATTGCAGCTTTATGCGATGTCGCACAGTGATCCGACGAATTATAGCAACCGCGCGCGCATGTGCGTCATGCCAATGCTTGCGGGCGCTGCGCCGAATAACAAAACGAACTATATGTACTAATTTAAATTTTCCTACAGTGCTTCTTAAGACGCATCTTTGGAAAGGCCTTCTTTCGTTGATTTCTTCAAAATGAGAGCTTGCCAGAAAGAATAATTTCACAGGGAGTTTGGTCCCCTTACTATCTTTCAACCAGTATGTTTTTCAACAATAATTACGCCAGTTACTTTTTTGGATAGCTGCAAATGATGGACTCCCGCTTTAAATAGTAGGAGGGTTAATGGTGTCTCAGTATTGTGGACACATTTGTAAATTAGAAGGCAGAAGTTAATTTGAAGTCATGCCCATAAACACAAACTGACAAAGTAACATATTGTGTCTGAAAGCCACAGTTTCCATAGGAAGACGGTATTGTTTCTCCAAGGCCTGAGCTTTAATGGTTAGTTTTGAATTGGCTGGTTTTGTTTTTTGTTTTTACATTTTCAGTTATTGTTGGCATTAACCGTAAGCACATACTTGGATGAAAACTATCCTGTCTGCAATCTGAATATTAACAAAAACGCACTAAATAAAAACGCTTTTGTTTTCTTCAGGTTCTCGATGATCTGAGACACAAGCTTGAATCAGAGGAGCGGTCATCTCTGTCTGACTTGCAGAAAACGCAGGACGCAGAGCTGGAAAAGAAGACTAAGGAAATGAAACACAAGCATGAACGGGTAAGGTCAAAGGTCACAGTCTGCAATTTCTGGCACGTGATTAGACAGTGTGTCACAAGAGAAGCATCCTCCAATGTTTGAAAATGATGACTTTTCGCCCAACAATTTTGAACCTCTGCTTTAAGTATGCACTATTCCCCCTTGCACAAATTCAAAACTGTTCATGTATCTGACAACTGTTGGTCCATAGCAACATTGTCGTTAGTCTGCATAAATCTGAGGTAAAGTGTACGAACCCTGACTCCCAAGGGTGATTTACTAGGAACCTTCCTCATCCTTGCAAATTATCCCAACACCATATGGTAAACTGTACACATAAACAGTTGGACTCTGTTTATTTGTGGTATGCCTAACCCCACTTAAAGCACAGTCAGTGTACGAGTGCAGTACTCATCCTAACAGATTCCAACAAACCCTGGTGTTGGAGTTTGGCTGGTTGGGGATCGTTAGGGTCAAGTATGGAAACAAGTTGGTGTACCAGATATTTAAATTTGAAAAACAAAAGGGCGTAGGCTAATTATGAGCTGGCTAATTATGAGCCTGGTAAATGAGAAATATATAATACAGAGTTGTAATGAAGTCAGTCACAAGTCAAATCACAAGCCAGGTCACAAGTTACAGTGGGATAAAAAGTGGCATTGGAATACCTCTGTCACTGTTCCTTTGGATAGCTTTTCACTGGAATAAAAGACTGGACGCCTTGCGATTGTCTTGTGATTGATTTGTGATGCTTATGACTTATGATGACTTTTCATGGCTCTTGATTGACTTGAGGCTGACGAACGGCAGACTTGTGACTACCTTTACCTAACTCTAACATAAGATACTTTTATAATTTGCTTTTATTTGTGGTTTCCCTCTTTTGAAGGAGATGGATGATCTCCGAGCAAGGCTGCAGGAAGCCAACGCGGAGGAGAAGCGCAGAGAAGAAGACAAGCTACGAATCTCTCGGGAGAAGCACTCTGTCGTGCAGGAAATGGAAGGAGATGTGAGAACATTTTTCTGGGTTGATTTGACCGTCAAATTTGCAATTGAATGTACTGCATTTCAAACTTTTCAGGGCCTTTTGTGGCAAACTCGGGATAAGAACAAGAAATAACAAGATTCTCCCATTGGTCACGTATGTTCATAGCCTATTGCCTGTGTAGTCACTTACAGGCTATACTTGCTACACATGCACAGTGTGAGACATCCACTAGTCTTCGCATGTTGGCGACACTTTACCAACATATTCTGGCGCTATGTCGGAATAAAATGTCCAAAATTTCTATTATATGAGTATTGCATAATGAGCAAATCAATAATTGTGAATAATGATTTTTAAAAAAGCTCCCTATTTATCACATGTAAGGGAACATTTACATTGCTGGCTTCACTTCCATAGGTCTCACGTATTCCAAAAAACTCAGATTTTTAAGGAAAACAAAATAAAATTCGTAATCAACGAAAATCACTGCTTACGAAAAGACTACTACATCATTTGAATACAGAGCATCAATAGACCTATTGAAACAAAAATTAGAGTAAGAAAAGACTGATTATGTCATGCCGCATTTAAGCCTTATTAAGGGACAAAGGCTGATTGCGTCGAGTGGGATACCTGGGCACAATAGACAAACTAAGTGGCAGGCACAAACATACGTGTGGTGTAATAAGTTATTTTTACAATTTGTTTTTGTTGGTATGTTTTTATTCATTGTTTTTCTTGGGGGGGTGATGGAGGGAGAGTATGTTTACATCATGAGTGGTAATTGTGTGAGTTCGTATACGTATTGAAATCTCGGACCTCGAACAATAGAGGACAAAATGTCCACAATTGAGATTCGTGTACAAAACCAATGAGAGTTGTTGCTAAAAAGTTTAAGTACAAACAAAAGGAGGACAATAGGGGGTCCACAATTGCAGGTGTATACACCATTGTGTGTGTGTGTTAGTAGGCATGCAAGTAAGAAGAGTTGTGAGTACCATTTATAATGATTTGCACTAGTTGGTCCAACGTCTTGAGCCTATACACCCCCTTGGCTTGGATAAACTTATCAACTGAAGTCTGTCTGTCTCAACTATTTTTCAAAAGTATATTCTAATCTTCTTTCTCTCTGATCTTTAGTTTCTCTCTGTGGTTCACTTGTTCTAGTGCCAATTCTTCATCTCTATCCCCTGCATTTTGAAGACAAATTCTCAAAACTATTAACCCCCCTGCTGTTTAAAAGGTCACCAACAGAAGTTTCCTTTCACTTCCCCTGGTATACTTTTAACACACCAATGGGTCACTTGACCAATTTGGACCCAAGTAACAGCATGGCTCAGAATAGATGTTTGCATAGGAGGGTTAATAAGTTGGTTTTTCTGCACTAAGAAACAAATTGTGATTCTACACCTGATTTGCAGATGGAGAACGTCTTGAAGGAAAGGAAACAGGAAGTCAAAGAGGAACAGAGAAAGGAGCTGGAGAAGATGAGACGAGAGCACGAGAGCAACTTGAAGAAGACCAAGCGGGAAATGGAAGAACTGGTAATGTCTGCTTAGGCAGTTGCCCAATCGAAATAAACTGATTATTATACTTTATCTGATGGGCTCCGTAAGAAAGGGCGAGTTGAGAGAGACCACTGGGAGAGACATTCAAACGCATTGTCGACGACATCTGATGCTCACACTAAGAAGCTATGGCTTTCTGCGCATTCAGAATAAAGTTAGTTGTGTGTACTTCATGCTATTGGCGTGATCCAGTATACAAATATTGAGTGGCTCAGCGTGGAATGGGAGGAATATTATCGCAAGGTAAAATCTGGACTTTTCTCGCCTCGTGAAATGGAAAAGTCCAGATTTTTTACCGAGCGATAATATTCCTCCCATTTCACAATTTAAAGCCACTCAATATTTGTTTTATATAACTGACATATAGATCCTTGTCATTTGATATATTTGAACTTTATTTCAATACAAAACTGGCGGAAAATGTATTTCTCTCTTTGAAACCACCCCTTCACGAAAATATTTGAATCCAACGCTGTAGCGCTTGCTCTTTGGAACAATACGCGCTACGCGCAATGCTGAACGCACACACCAGCATGCATTTGCACACAAATACCGCGTCACGATCCTAACTGTTGAATAGTATTTCCCATTCCCCATGGGCGGATAGTACTTTTTGAGCCGCGGCATGAATGGGAGCAATAACAAAATGTCACGTGATGTGAGCTCCACCAATCAAATGACAAGGATCTGTATGTCAGTTATATAATACGCACTAGCAGTGTGTCCGTCCAGTGGGCTCTAGAAAGTGGTGAAAAAGCGTGGAGGCCAAAACTTACATAATTGACAGTCTAGTGCTTGGCACAGTGAAGTCAGGTACCCACCGTTGCCATTGTGAATTATACTGAGTGTATAAGAAATAGTGAATGCTAAACCATTTTTCTGTTACAACTCCAATACATCGTATACCTCATTCATAATTGGAGTAAGAATTAAGTGGAAACATTATGTGAGACTTTCCGACTTACCCTAATAATGTTTCAGGTATTAGTTTGGTACCACCATAAACCGCACTTGTGATCACTACTTTTGCACATTTGGGAGTCTTGGAGCTAATCTTGAGGTATGACTTCCCTAGTACGACTGACCAGTTTAGGTGATAGTGCGTGCATCTCACTTGCAATATAGCAATTACTATTCTGGTACGTTGACATATCAACCAGTGCAAGGCCATTTTTGGTCTATGATTATATTTCCCGACCATGAACATTTTAGTCTCAGTCTAGAAGGTTGAAGATAAGGACATCACCACTCACCATGCCCTCTTTTCACAGGAGAAGAAAGAGAAATCTACCCTCCAGTCCCAGTGGGAGGCAGAGAAGGAACAGCTGACAAAGGACTTTGAGCTGGAGATGCGGGACATTCAACGGGAGTACGAGCGGCGTCGGGAGGAGCTCCAAAGAAGCCAGGAGGAACAGGAGGGCGCCCTGAATGAGGCGCGCGAGGCCATCGAGGAGTGTAGGAAGGAGACGGAGGAAGCTCGGAAGGCCCTGGAGAAGGAGGAGGGCAAGCTGAGGAAAAGACGGGAAAAGCTGGAAGCGGACAAAGAGAAACTCGGTCGGGAACAACATGTAAGACTTCATATTTGAATGATTATTGTGTATTGCCTGTTTGGACAACAATAACATTTCTGATTCTCAAGTAGAAAGCTTCAGTCGTTTTGAATCTGTGTTATGCGCATGTAGGTCCGTGTGGACAAGCACACGCCTTGGGGTACATTACTGACCGTTATAGACACTGGCAATCAGGCTATTTATAAGGACTTAGAGGCCGTTAGATGTTTGCATTATTATTGTGGGGAGTGTGGCTGAGTGGTTGGTTCATGACTCGTGATCAGAGGGCCAGGGGTTCCAGTCCAGCTGCTGGTCATATATGCTGTGTCCTTGGGCAAGCCACTTCACCCCCACTTGCCTCTCTCTCCACCAAGGAGTATAAATGGGTGCCGGCATTAGCTTGGGAGTAACCTGCGATGGACCGGTATCGCATCCAGGGGGAATAGAAATGGAAAACAGTCGTCTCATGCTACTGAAAGTGGAGATAAATGCCGGCCTGATGGGCCACATTGGCTTGTGACAGTCTTTAGTACTGCTGACATTATTATGATTGAGTGGCTTATAGCCCATGCATTTTCACTAAAGTTGCACATGTATACATCTTTTTTTCACTAATTGCACTGCCACGCAATTGAACTAAGGAGCAATGATGAACTAAGGCGGACAACACTGAGTCTTTTGCTGTTCATGAAATTACATCGGTGAAGATCAAAACCCAATGCTGAATGTACATCTCCTAGATGCAAAATTCCATTATATAAATTATAATTCCTTGCGGTACCAGCTGCTTTATCAGATTCAAACCAGCCAGCCGAATCCGACAATCTCGGTGGTCGAGTCGTAAGACGTCTGCACCAGTAAGCAGGAGTTCATGGGTTCAAGTCCCACCCGAGTAAGCTTGTGGATTTGCTTTTGCAAGCCCTCGGACAGCACTTAGTATACAGTGCTTATGAAGTATACGGGTGTTGAGAAAAACCCAATGTTGCATAAGGCCCCCCCCCAAAAAAAAGTCTCCGGTTTCTGGTATGGAGCTTGTCCAAAAAGTGGTGCGGCGAAGCGGCTTTTTTTTTTTTTTTACCCGACTTTTTTGCTTCAAATGTCTGCTGATGACTGCAAATGGTGCCTGACTAAACTTAGTGCCACATAAAGCTTATTCTCGATCATAACCCCATCTAAAAACACGTTGAAATTCCGCAGCAGCAGAATTCCAGTCAAACCAGTGAGTTTGGCGGTTTTGAGACATCATTTTTCATTGAAAAAAAAACTTTTTCATTTTGCCGACGCGCATGGCTACGGCGACGCGCGCGCATACCAGAAACCAGAGACTTTTTTGGGGGGCCTAAGATGCAAAGATTATGTCACCATGAACATTTGTGTGTAGGCCATTATGGTAATTTTGTACATGTGTTGGCATTATGATAAGGAGATGCTTGCTGGTCAGGCCGCTAAGATGGACCCCGAGGCCGTCAAGAAGATCCAGGCAGAGCGCCAGGAGCTGCTGGAGTCCATACAGGAGGAGAGGATGCGAGTCAAGCATCTTGAGAAAGAGAAGGACGAGCTACTGGCCGCGGTGCAGAGACTGAAGCAACAGGCCAAGACATCACCAAGGTATCTGTGACTGGATTTCAGGCAACGAGCCCTTTGACATTTTTAAAACTCCTTCTTTCTTTATGCATTAAAGCTACAGTCCATCATTTGTAATTTGTGCATTTTGTTCGTTTGTAGCAACAAAAGAGTTCAAAATCTAATGAAGGATACTAAGCAACTAACCTGATGAAGTTTCAGCTAAGCTTCAGCTGTACATTCCGAGAAAAACAGCATTCTAAGACCTCAATTTCAAATCAAAAGTTACTGAATCATGTTTTGAATTGTTTTGAATTGCAGCTATACGCGACGTCGCGCACTGATCCGACGAATTATAACAACCACGCGCGCGTGTGCGTCGTTCCAATACTTGTGCGCGCTGCGCTGAATAACAAAACGAACTACTAATTTAAATTTTCCTTCTTAAGAATCACCGTTGGAAATGCCTTCTATCGTTGATTACTTAAAAATGACAGCTTCCCAGTAAGAATAATTTCACAGGGAGTTTGGTTCCCTTACTTTCTTTCAACCAAGTTGGTTTTTCAACAATAATTACGCCAGTTACTTTTCGGATGGCTGCAAATGATGGACTATAGCTTTAAAAAGGGAAACTTGGCTCTTCCTTGTAATGCATTATACAGTTTGACATTCTGGTAAATATGGACAAGTGGATAAGTATGTGGGTGAAAAGTTGACAGAAATGTCCATTATGCAAGATTTGTCTGAGGACTTGTATTTAACTCAAAAAGCTCTGTCGATTTCTGACTCATTTTGCACTTTTAGGGACACATTTGTGAGGCGGAAATGAGACAGAACTGAGCAGAGGTCCCAAATGAGGGTTTGTGGGTATTAGGAAGGAGAATAAATGTGACCTGTTCTGTCAAAATCAGACTTTTCTGGGCATAAGGTCAAAAATGAGATTTTTGCATATTGTTAAAAAATGTTCTTTTTCCTTTTAATAGGTGGTTTAATTTTTGAAACTGGTCATTCCTGGACAGAGTTATGCTATTTTGAAGTTCATTGTGTTGAAAAGTAGAAAACGGAGAAAATGGCCACGAACGTCACAAAACATTAATTTCTTTAACTGATTTACCTTAACAAATCATAAACAATACTATATTTAGAGTTCAAATTAGGGTTTCAAACTTTTATAGTATATTTTAGACATGTTCAGGATTACAAATTTAGCAAAAATTTGAAAATCGAAAAAAATCACCCCCACAGCGTTTTTTGGGGCTATCTCAATTTCAACCTCTGCCCAGAAGCGTCTGCTTTTGACAGAACAGGTCACACATTTCTCCTTCCAATACTGTATGTTGCACTTCAATCGGACATTCCGTTGACAAGTTATGGCTGTTTACAGTTTGCATCTATCGACATGTTTGCATTTATCGACAAAGGCATTCCTTTGTCATTGTTTGTTTCATGTTACTTGTGGCCTGCCTTGTCAATTGACTTGCGATTTGATTTTGGATTGACTTGTGACTGACTCAATTACAACTTGGCATTTTAGTCATGTATTTTGTTAAAGGTACAGTCCATCATTTGTAATTTGTGCATTTTGTTCGTTTGAAGCAACAAAAGTGCTCAAAATCTAAAGAAGGGTGCTGAACAACTAACCTGATGAAGTTTCAGCTCAGCTTCAGCTGTACATTTCAAGAAAAACAGCATTCTAGGATCTCGATTTCAAATCAAAAGTTGCTGAATCATGTTTTTAATTGGGCCTGGATTCAGCATCCGAGACACATTCTCGCCAATTGCAGCTACGCGATGTCGTGCACCGATATCCAACTGCGCACGTGTGTGCGTCGTGCCAATGCTTGTGCACGCTTCGCCAAAGAAAAAAAAAGAAAAAAACCCGGAAATTTCCATCGGTGCATCTTTAGACGTACCGTTGGAAAGGCCTTCTTTCGTTGATTTCTTCAAAATGACAGCTTGCCAGAATTTCACAGGGAGTTTAGTCCCCTTACTATCTTTCAACCAAGTATGTTTTACAACAATAATTACGTCAGTTACTTTTTTGATAGCTGCAAATGATGGACTGTAGCTTTAACAAGTCATTGATCAGAAATGTTGTCTCTGTGTTGCTAGGATGCCACAGCGTATGGCAGAGGAGGATAGGCTTGATGATGATGAGCCTTACACCAATGGTCATCACTACTCAGAGGATGGCTCAGCACCCCGGACCGCCGGCCTGAGATTACCCAAGACCCCCAGCGCCGATGCCTTGGACTTGGAGGAGTTATCCCAGCCCACCCCGTCTCCCTCCAAAGGGGTAAGGTTGCTAAGTCATTTGTATACTGATCATAGGCAGTTTGATGCAGTTTTCAATCAAGTCTCCCCTTTTAACCATCTCATTATTCTTAAAGCTATAGTCCATCATTTCCAGCCATCCGAAAAAGTAACTGGCGTATTATTGTTGAAAAACATACTTGGTTGACTAAACTCCCTGTGAAATTAATCTTTCTGGCAAGCTATCATTTTGAAGTTATCAACGAAAGAAGGCCTTTCCAACGGTGCGTCTTAAGACGCACCGTAGGAAAATTTGAATTAGTAGTTCGTTTTGTTATCCAGCGCAGCGCGCGCAAGCATTGGCACGACACCGCATTGGCGGTTGCTATAATTCGTCAGATCAGTGCGCGACATCGCGTATAGCTGCAATTCAAAAGAATTCAAAACATGATTCAGCAACTTTGGATTTAAAATTGAGATCCTAGAATGCTGTTTTTCTCGGAATATACAGCTGAAGCTGAGCTGAAACTTCATCAGGTTAGTTGTTCAGTATCCTTCATTAGATTTTGAACACTTTTGTTGCTTCAAACGAACAAAATGCACAAATTACAAATGATGGACTATATCTTTAAGATAGTGAATGCATTAGCATATGTACTACATTGTATTACAGTGTACTTAGGCCAAATAAAAATACTGCTTCCAATTACATGGCATTCGAAAAATAGGGTAGGTAGGTAGGGATTTTTTTTTTTTTTTGGCCAATTATTTTGTGTACAATCATATGGAGGCGTCAGCGCCTGCCTATTACTGTAGCGCCTGAAACCACCCTGCTTGTTACTCACTGTAACACCCAAAACCACCCTGCTTGTTACTCACTGTAACACCCAAAACCACCCTGCTTGTTACTCACTGTAACACCCAAAACCACCCTGCTTGTTACTCACTGTAACACCCAAAACCACCCTGCTTGTTACTCACTGTAACACCCAAAACCACCCTGCTTGTTACTCACTGTAACACCCAAAACCACCCTGCTTGTTACTCACTGTAACACCCAAAACCACCCTGCTTGTTACTCACTGTAACACCCAAAACCACCCTGCTTGTTACTCACTGTAACACCCAAAACCACCCTGCTTGTTACTCACTGTAACACCCAAAACTGCCCGAGAACTCTATGGCTTTATTTATCGTTACCCCGGGTATGCAGGTGACCGAATTTTTTGAAGAAAAAAAAAAAAAATGAGGGCCAATGACGTTCACCTTCCATCTAATCCTCATTCAATCCATGCCAAATCAGCTGGTTCAATGATTTTTGCAGCCAGGGTTTCACCCGAGCGGTGTCAACAACCTTGGGACCAGGCCTCCTGCCAAGTCTCATTGAACCATATCCAAACACCTGTAACTTGACACAGCCATCTCCCTTCATTGCCGCAAACCGCAGCCACCAGTCAATTATCTTTTAAGTGCCCTGTCTGGCAAATGCCTGGACACTGTCTGGCACATGGCTTTTTGTTGTTTTGACATGGATAGGGTCTTGCGTAGTGGGGGAAGTACCTGCGTCCCAAAGGTACGCAGTTGGCGACTTCGGATAAAAATTTCTTGTAAACGCTGCGCAGGGTTAAGCGAATAAACACAATGTAATACAATGCAGTACAGGTGTTAATGGGTTGAAGATCACATTTGTTAAAATTGGAAGAGGATCATACATTTAAATATTTTGCCGGTTCTCAACGCCGTTCCGTCTGATAAGAGCTTGCGAGAAAGAAAATTCACAAACTGGCTTGGGTGGGACTTGAACCAGCGACTCTCTGCTTAATAGTGCAGATGTTTAAACCATTCCCTATTAGAATTACAATAGTTGTTTGAATCTGATGCAGTGGAGAATACTGCAATATGACTAATGATGAAATTCAGGGTTGGGAAGTATGGAAATTAAAAATGTGGCCGTCACTGAAAATGGTACTTTTTTACTATTTTGAAGTAAGTCTGAATTTGTGTCAAAATTGTTTTGAAAGATTCTCAATTAACTCTAGCGTCTGTTATCACTATTTTGTTAGGTTCGGCAAATGGTTCACCCCAGAGATCTGCTTCGTACACCGGCCGAAAGGGAAGATTACTTGTTGGGTAGGTAGATTTCTCCATCCACCATTTTCCCCTCTCAATTCATATTGGTCTGACTCATTAAAAGATCTTCAAGCAAAAGCATTTTTTGTACTACAGCGTTGAGCATATCTGTGTTTTGAAACGAAAGTAGACAAAGTCCCACCCTTTAAAAGATAATATTTCCTCTTTTGTGTTTACAATGTACTTGTGTTTTTGGTTGTTTTGTTGACAATTGTTTCATGCGCATCCTGTGTATACACACAAATATCGACCAACATAGCTCTGGTTAGCTCAGGTCGTAGAGCCTTGTTCAACTCTATTCACTGGTGTAGTCGTGACGGCATTCGTAGGACAACCCGGTTCAACCATGATGACTGGTTCACGCGCACTGCAACGGCCAAGTGAACACTGTGGTTTTGCTATGGCTATTGTCATGATTGTGAATTTGTTTCATAATTGGCTTGATTCTCCTCTTTGAAGCAACAATGAGCACAATTGTGGTTGTAACTGGTGTGGTGACAGTCTGCTGAAAGGCAGTCAACCATTTTCAGGTACTCATTTGTGAAAATGTTCTATAAAAGCATGTAACATTGCTGTCTGTGATCGTGTGTGTTAAACGTACATGAAATTTATCATAATGGAATGCACATGAACGGTTGTTGAGGGCATGAGCGTAACCTGGGGAGAATGTGACGTCACACCTCAGCGTGTAGTTGGTTTAATAACTTGCTTTCTGTCAAATGGTTTCTCACATGTCAGGCTCAGATGATGACTACCAGGCGCCTACCAGGAGACATGCGAGTGACCGAAACTCTAGGGGGCGCCACGGCAGTGACAGGAGTCCGCGCTATACTCGCGGCGGCAGCGACATTGACATCAGCGGACTGGTAAACAAAGCCCCCTAAGTTGCCCACAGAAATATAACTACCAAATTTCAATTTTTCAAAAAAGACAACCAAAATGAATTAAATTCTTCACAAATATTGTTTGTAACCATTCGGAAAGATGTATATGAAAAGTTTGTAAATGGAGGCAAAATATCTGCAGTAATGTTATAGTCACATGGTGTTTATCACAAATCACTATAAATCTAGGTATACATTTAAAGTATGGTGTTCCATATATGCCATCGGTGTGCATTTTTGGGCGTCGCATTTTTAAGCTCTGGCCGGGATCATTTTGATCGATTTCATGCGAGACTTTCATGCAAGACAGCCAGAGCTAATGTGCACCTGCAGTTGTTTTCTTTTAATAATTTTTTTGGTTAAAAATGTGAATCGTTCTGACATAATGAGACAGAACTGAGCAGAGGTCGAAATGAGAGTTTGTGGGTGTTAGGAAAGACAATAAATTTCTGCTTACAATACTGTTTGTTGAACTTCAGTCGGACATTCCGTTGACAAGTTATGGCCGTGTAAAGTTCACGTTTATCGACACTGCAAAAAAAATTTAAATACTGAGAAAACAGGCCTGTAAAGTTTCAAGTTTATTCATAAGGTTACCATCATAAAAATTTAAGAAAAGTGCTTTAGAAGTATCCACGCACAATTTGAGATATGGAGAGCCATTTGGTCATGTGGTAAAATGGCTTGCAGTTTGATAACTGGGACCAGGTCAACAAACAGACATAACTTTCTTATTTTTGCACATGTGACCTTGATTTTTCCATCCCATAAAGGGGAAACATTCAAGGAACAAACCTTATGTACAACACCTTTGATTTTAATCACTCCTTGGCAGTGAAAATCTGGGTTGAAAAAAAAGTGAGTTTTCAACTTATGGTCCATTTTTCACGCTCTAGTGATTTCAGCATGACTGAGCAAACAATGTGGTTATGGGGAGAGCCAGGTCAATAAACAGTTTAAGGAAAGGGTTTAAAATATGCCTCTGAAGGAAAAAGGAACTTAGACCCCGTTCCCACTTGATCCACCAATTGGGGGATCTGATCCACCTTTTGCCAAATTGCCGGATCAGATCCCCCAATTGGTGGATCAGATCCGGCAATTGTGTGTAGTGGGAACGCTAACCGTTATAAGGTGGATCAGGATCAGATCCACCTTTTCTGATCCACCTCTGGACCAGGATACAGATCCCCCAATTGGTGGATCAGATCCGGCAATTGCCGGATCACGATCAGATGGGAACGCAAAAGGTGGATCTGATCCGGCAATTTGACCTGTTAACATCCGCCCGGTGCACGAGTGGCGCGAAAATGTTGCGGTTTTATGAACGAAGCAACACGTTTCGGGCGTGTAGCTCATGTGAAAATTTCCAACGTACACAACATGCACAATAAACAACCGCTGAACTACGGGCTAGCACCGCGCATGCACGATGCATGCATAACTACACTAGGCCTTTTACAATTTTCGTTGCGTATTCGTCCATTTTCTAAACCTTTTTCATTCGTGAAATTTCACTTATTTTTCCATCCATAAATGCCTTTGAGTCCGCACTCACCAAAACACTTCACTTTGGCACAGAATCATAGAAAAGCTTACGAGTATGCGATGAGAATAGTGCCGATAACGCGGTGCGTCTGGAGGTGACAAATCTGTAGTATTGACTATAGAAAATTGGAAATGAAGTCGTAGTACATCATGTGACCATTTCTAACCAATGAGAAGCTTCAGAACCAGGGAATCCCTCATCGATGCATTGGTTTCTGCCGTGATGTCACACAATGAGCGGCGCTGTTCGATTTCACCAGTTAATGCACGCACGGATCCTCTACGGATCCGTGATTTATGTCGGTGAATTCGCGTAATTTTTGTAGGTGAATTCTGATACTGATACTGATAGCGCTGTTTGAAAACTGACCCGTCCTGGCCTAGCATGCAACACTGGCACTCCCACCAGTAATTCCGAACTCAGTGACCTTTCGGACCCAACATTTCCGTACGAAAAGGTGGATCAAGCATAAGTGGAAACGCGACTTGCGGTTTCGTTGCGGTAAGATAACGATCACAACAAAATGCCGGATCTTGATCCACCTTTTCCCAATTCAAGTGGGAACGCGGTGTTATGTTTGTAAGTTTTTTTGATTTTGCAATTAACAGCCGGAGTACCGGAGCAGAAAGCCCAGACGGCAGGCCTGGGGCCGATACGCCACCGACTCGGACGAATCTGAAGACTTCACTGAGGTGGAGATCAGACAACGCATGCATCAAATGTAAGACCATTGGCAAGTCTGACGTTTGGGGGGTGGGGGGTAATGTCTTAAAGGCATATAGGATTATTTGCCATTCATCTCAAAAGTAACGTACCAAATTATTATCAAAAAGCTTACCTGGATTACAGACCGTAGGGCCTACTGGTACAAAAACACCTGTGAAATTCTTTCGTTTGGCTTGCTGTCATTTAGAAGAAATCAAGAAATGTAGGTGATTTCCAACGATCAGTCAATTGACTGATTTTTGGAAAGACAGAGTGCTGTTGATGAAATTGTGTTTCGTGATCAAAAGGGTGTTCAATTTTATATTGTTTTTTGGCACTAATTTCTCGAAAAGTGTAATATCCACTGAGTTGAAACTTCAACAGGGGTAGTTTCAATAGGTTAGCTGAACATTCTTTGGATTTTGTGTGGTTTTGTTATTGGCAACGAACAAAATGCATGAAAAGAAATGATCTGATATGCCTCTAATCTCTCCACAGTGACACTCAGTCCCGACTCCTGGAGGAGAATGGTGCCATCCGCCGTGCCGGGGAGTTCCTGCGGCGACAGCGGCTGGTCCTGCGACAGCGCCAGAGGGCGCTGAACGACGCCAGGCAGGAGTGGAGGAGAGACCTGCGACGTCAACAGACGACTGGGTTGTCACCGGCTGGCGCGTCCATCCTGGAGGACGTCAGGCTGGGACTGGAAAGGGTATGAAAGGACCCAGCATTGGACTTTTTGTCTTTTGGGTTATATTTCTTTAAGTTCACAGTGTATTGTTGTGTTTCACACTGAAAATTAAAGTTGTCGTAAGTTGCTGCTTTTCTAGCATTACAAAAGCTGTTCACATCTAACTCTTACTCTTACTCTGGCCACTTCTGTGGGACATTAGTGATGGCTCCCAAGATTGTCTTTCTGTCAGGCAACTATGAATTTCCCGTGGTTGTAGCTGGGTGCCTTGGCACAGTGTATCAACATATGTGGTCATTGGTCGTCCCACGTTTCGCTTTTTCTGGGTTGGCTGCCAGAGAATCAAGCTGGCCACTAGTTGGTTGCTGGATCTTCTGCAATGCCCTGCAAACTGGAGCCGTCTCTTCTTGATAGTAGTTGTTACTTTTGGTAGTTGTCTGTAGAGCTCTTGATTGGTTGTGTGACTCTTCCAGCTGGAACTCTAAGCAGTCTGGTGTAGCAGCCATCAATTGACTTTCTTAGTTTTGTTGTCATTGTCCAGGTTTCTGCTCCATAAAGGAGAACACTTTCAACAGTTGCCTGGAAGAGTTTGACATTGAATGAGATATCAAACAAACAAAATCCGCCCACATTTTAGTCATGGAATCATTTTTCTAATTTTTTTTATTTTTACGCTTTGCTTGTACAATAGTAACCCAAACTAAAGGCATTCCTTTTGCCAGAGTGTTCCAGATGCCCAAAATATAGATAAGGTAGGTTTTTTTTCGTCAAAATAAATGTACAAATTGAAAAAACATTGGGAGAGAAAATAACAAAAGTTTTGAAATCGACGGGGAGAACAATTTTACTAAAATTGTTCACACACCCAAAAGGGCTAGGGTTAAGCGAGTACTTTTATGTTTATCAAAAGGAGGCCCTGGAGCTTGACAAGGCCATGGTGGATATGTCGACCGGTCGCAGACTCGTCCGAGAGAAAGCCAGCGGGATCAAGAAACTGGAGACGTCCATGCAGGACGGGGTGAGTTAACGTTGGTTTGCATGGGACTTTAATTCGGAATAGTTGCCTTAATTGTAAAGAATGAAATAAATTCACTGTAACATTAGAGGTGATAAATGCTGGGCCCAATTTCACGGCGCCGCTTACCAGTTAGCAGAAAAGATGTGCTTACTATAGCAGAAAATTGTGGTAACTTATTAAGCACTATTTCGTGGTGTGGATGTGCTGATGGTTGCGCGCGTATCGAGATTGATTTCTATTGTTACGTCACTGATTTAAGCAGCTTTTTCCTCGGAGATTAACGTGCCTTTTGCTGTGCTTCCTGCTTATGGTCTGTCTGAAATAGACTGAGGTTCTGTTAGCTAAAAATTCTGTGCTTAGCAGCGCTATGAAATGGGCCCATGGTTTGTTTTTTGGAAAGCTTGATGGCAGAAATGATTGAATTTTAAAATGCCCTACTTTTCATTTGCTGTGAACAAAAGAAATTTTGAAAATGCTGGCTTTTCTTGTTCCTGCAGATTTCTGGGAGTGAGCTGGATGTCAACTTTCCACAGCTGTCAGTGCCCAACCTGTCTCTCAGCGATTCGTCTAGTGCCAGCAACACCAGCATGAGCGACGTTGAGGAAAAGAGCTCCAAATTGGGTATGAGGCCTTCCTGTTAAAAGTCGAAGAGGATACATTTTACCAATGTACATGTGCTTAGTGGCAGGCCAGGGGAATAATTGAAAGTGGCCACAATACAAAGTAACACAGACCATGCAGAGAATATTTTTACTTGTTCTAAATCATTCATTTAGGCTATCAGCTTCGGCCAATAATTGGGCCACCGGTATCAAATGATCAAAAGGAGCAATGCTCATAGCGGTATTTGGCGAGGTATGCACATCTAGAGTTGGACAATGTGTGATAGCTTTGCAGTGTGAGCGGTGGCAGTTTGTTTGGGTGTTATCACTTTTATTTTTTTATTTTCAAAATAGCCGCCAATGTGCTTGTTACCTGAATAATTATAATGGCAACAAGCATGTTTTGACCTCCATTGTTTAACAAAAAAAGGGATTGCACCCAAAAGCTGCCACCACTGCAATGCTATCACATATTTTCCAACTACAGGGGTGTATACCTTGCCAAAAAAATCACAATGAGCATTATTCCCCTCATTTGATACCGACCAAATCCCCAGGCTGATGGCCTAATTACCCCCCTTTACGTTTTGTTCGTTGGCAACTGAACTTTTAAAATGCTGTACCGCAAGAGAACTTGCAAACATCTGGAACCCATGACCTCCTGGGAACACACAAAGGGCAAAACCCCAGAGTAATAGAAAAATATTGAGATTTTATCATAATTCAGAGAAAACATTTTGTTGTAGGAAACATGGTATTCCTGTGGTTTCAGCAATTCTGTTGCTTTGATTGTAGAAAATGAGAAATTGGTTTAATTTGAGGAATTATTATTTTGCTTTGGTTGTAATAATCATGGTATTGCTTAGGTAGTAGGAATCATGGTATTGCTTTTATTGTAGGAATCACGGTATTGCTTTTGTTGTAGGAATAACGGTATTGCTTTTGTTGTAGGAATCTCGGTGCTGCTTTTGTTGTAGGAATCACGGTATTGCTTTTGTTGCAGGAATCATGGTATTGCTGTTGTTGCAGGAATTGTGGTGTTGCGTTTGTTGTTGGAATTGTGGTGTTGCTTTTGTTATAGGAATCATGGTATTGCTTATGCTGTAGAAATCATGGTATGTTGTAGGAATCATTGTACATGTACATGTACATGTATTGGTTATATTGCAGGAATCATGGCATCGCTTATTTTGTTGGAAATCATGGTATTGTCTTTATTGTCTTGTTGAACTCATACCAGGTACTTCTCCAGAGAATCAGGCCACTGCATTGCTCGCTCAGCTGCAGCAGATGCTCCAGAACCAGCAACGAGTTTCATCAACCTCTGTCCCCAGCCACAACCCTGCCCCCGGCAGCACGAATCCACCAACTGGCACCGCTGCGGATCCCGTGGTCTCTTCCCTCAACGTCATCAACCAGCAGTTGTCCAACGTCATGGGACTGCTGCAACAGCAGAGTCAGAACATGTCGCCCTCTACTGGTGACAATCTGAGGACAAATGTCCCCAAGCCAAGCTCAACTGCCAGTGCTCAACCCTTTCCAACCCACGCTGGTACCCGTCACGCTGGTATCCATCACGCACCTGCTGGAACGCACGCTACCGCGCCACCCGAGTCCCGTTTACAAGAACCCAGAATGCCACCCTCCCATCATGCATCTGGTCAGGCATCCCACAATGCATTGCCGGCCCACATCGCTTCCCAGTGGTCTCATTCCGGACCCTCCCCCAGCTACCAAGATGCAAATGGATACGGGACTATCCCGACGACAGACTACACCGGCTACTCTGGGCCAGTCGGAGGTAGTTACCCCCGGACCATCCCTACCTCTAGCTATCCATTAGGCTTGTCATCCCGTATCGGAGCTCCAAACAGGGTCGTGCCGAATGTAAAATTTGACGTATCGTCGCTCCGTACATCTGCACCCCGAGAAACAGCAGAGCAGGCCCTGGAACGGAAATGGAAAACCTACTTTGGAGGTGAGACCAACTTTCTTGACTTGTTTTTCAAATCATGATCAATGTGTCATGGATTCAAGATCACCCTGCCTCTCTTGATCAATAATGTTTGCAAAATGTGCCCTGCTCATTAAAAATGAGTCTAATTTCCTTATACACTGTAACAAAACTTCTCGGTATCTCTAAGGCCAAAAAAAAAAAGTCTCCGGTTTCTGGTATGGAGCTTGCCCCAAAAGTGGTGCGGCGACGCGGCTATTTTTTTTTTACCTGATTTTTTTGCTTCAAATGTTGGCTGATGACTGCAAATGGTGTCGACTAAACTTAGTGCAAATATATAGGAGTCCAGAGAGGCCACATAAAGCTTATTCTCGACCAAAACCCAATCTAAAAACACGTTAAAATTGTGCAGCAGCAGGATTCCAGTCAAACCAGTGAGTTTGGCGGTTTTGAGACATCATCTTTCACTGAAAAGAAAACTTGTTCATTTTGCCAACGCGCATGGCTACGGCGACGCGCGCGCATACCAGAAACCGGAGACTTTTTTGGTTTGGCCTAATCCTCCGGGGTATTTGGTCTAGAAACCCTGCCCAACACACCATCATGCAACATAATTCAAAGTGAGAACCCTGCCCACTGTTACAAGTTGATGGCTCACTGCAGCAAGGTTCCACAGACTGTGTTGCATCTGGCAGGGTTAAGAGTATTGACATGATGGGTTCCATGCGCAAACAAGAGAAGGCGTTTTTTTACCAATTTCGAGAGCCTAGTGGACTGGACTAGTCCGAAAATTTGGGACTCTCAATACTTTGTATGACAGTCCCAAAACTTATAGGTATCCATATCGTGCAAAAGTTTGTGCTGCATAATAAAACCAGTGTGAATCAAATGTGCAAGCTTCTTACTCACTACAGTTTCCTCAATAATCCCCGAAACTTCTGCCACGCAAAGTTGCTGTTGTTAGCATTGCATCACCAAAAATTCAGCTTTTAATTCTAATTTTACAGAGAGTTATCGAAATCTAAACGTGAGACATCACGTTGATGTGTACTGCAATGCATTGTGCTAAAAAGACTCCTCAGCTACAACATTTTCACCGTGTAGATAAAACAGCGCCCTCTTGTTGATCCTAGTGAATGCAGAATGTTTAATGTTTTAACAGAGGGCAATATGTTCTTTTGGCCATCGATTAAAAAACAAGTAAGCTGCAAGGTACTTTGTGCATCTACCCAGAATACCTTGTGAATCACATACACGTCTCTAGGTTATGGAAAATAACATGGATGGTTTTTGAACTGCCAAAAACTTGCCTTAAAATTGGATTTAAGGTCTCAAATTCTGCAGGTGACATGCTTGCAACTATAGCATTTTGATGTATGTGTTCTGTGGGCATTAATTAGCCGAATGGTGAGTAAAAAAACGTCAGTAGTAATTTTGCACGTTTTTATGCACTCACGGTCCCAGTCTGGGACTGGACATGCCACGTGCGCATACTGGTTTGTGTGTGTAAAGTGCAAAGTATGCATGACTTATTTAATTCTGAATATGCACAAAGCCATTGCGTCTTCGCGTGAGCATCAGGTGTCGTCAGCAATGCGCTTGAATGTCTCTCCCAGTGGACTCCCCCAACTCTCCCTTTGTTACCACTGAGGGGGTACTTGTGCACTGAGCCCATAGAGTGATAAGTTAAAAACACAACAAAAACAAAAGATTCTGTTTTTATAATAGGCCATAGCATGTCAAGTGATACCTCCTCAGCTTCGCGTCCCGGCATTCCCAACCTCTCCCTCGGCAAGCCCACCTTCGGTGGCTACGTCTCGGCGCGGGATCAGCTGAGAGCATTCCGCCAGTCTGCCCAGCCTAGCCCAAGCCACGCCCTCCCCAATGAGATGTCGTTTTCTGCCTCCTCTACCACGGAAGCCAAGCTGCAGCAGATGAGCGACTGGGTCAAAGACTTCCGTCGGGACGACAACACAACTACGTATCCTTGAATAATTTTGTTATTTTGAGAGGTTTTTGGTTGCTGTTTTAGTTTGGTTTGGTTCGGTTTGGTTTGGTTTGGTTTGGTTTGGTTTGGTTTGGTTTGGTTTGGTTTGATTCGGTTTGGTTTGGTTCGGTTTGGTTTGGTTTGGTTTGGTTTGGTTTGGTTTGGTTTGGTTTGGTTTGGTTTGGTTTGGTTCGGTTTGGTTTGGTTCGGTTCGGTTCGGTTCGGTTCGGTTTGGTTTGGTTTGGTTCAGTTTGGCTTGGTTCGGTTTGGTTTGGTTTGGTTTGGTTTGGTTCAGTTTGGCTTGGTTCGGTTTGGTTTGGTTTGGTTTGGTTTGGTTTGGTTTGGTTTGGTTTGGTTTGGTTCGGTTTGGTTTGGTTCGGTTCGGTTCGGTTCGGTTCGGTTTGGTTTGGTTTGGTTTGGTTTGGTTTGGTTTGGTTAGGTTTGGTTTGGTTTGGTTCGGTTCGGTTCGGTTTGGTTCAGTTTGGTTTGGTTTGGTTTGGTTCAGTTTGGTTTGGTTCAGTTTGG